ATTTAGTTTTAATTTTTATTGAAATACTAGCTTTCACCCGCGACTCCGTCTGCATCGAAATAAAAAAAACAAAAGTGAGTAACCTACCAGTAGCAGTAACCTACGTGTCCAACAACAAACATCCATCCATATAAACTATTACACATTTATATTAGTAAGATAAGAGCAAGAGCACGATCTGCTTTCCATGAGCTGATGACCAACCCAACTAACTTCATTTGTACAATTTCATCTGATTAGCAATACTTGTAAATTGTTGAGTTAAATTAAATTTTCATTGATAACAATAAACTTCTAACTAGTGAGTAAATAAAGATATAAATTTACCGTCTCCAGGGTAACGGGTGGTTCACTTGCTACAGAATTCTGACGTGACATTTCGTTGAGAGCCAACATCTTAGCTTTGAACTCCAACTCATTTATAGACATCGATTGAAAGCTATCATCCGCTGTAAAAAAAACAATTCAAACATTACTTTTTTTTATTAAATTTTAATGTACATTTAACAACAAAAGATATCAAATATCATTTTAAAACTTACAAAACCTAATGATATTTTACTTCTATGCTGATTTACTTTTCTAAATTGTAGAATGCTTAGACCGGAGTAGGTCTGCCTAGAAAATGTTTTCATTAACTAATATCGATTTTCCTAAATTTTACCTGTTGTGGATTTTTCCAATGTCTCTTCAGGTTCCTCCTCAACGGTGACGTCAGCAGAGATCACTTCCTCATCTCTGTGCTGCTGCTGCGTGAAGTTATAGAACTGACGCCGGTAGAAATGCAACTGCAAGTAATGCTGTAAACAACCCGAAAATAAGTCAACATTGAATACTAGCTCCTTAACTAAGATATTAATAACAAATAACACCAAATACAGCCAACTCGGACGGATCAAAGATGTTAATATCAGTAATTATATTATTGAGTTTCTACAAATTATTCCTACAAGTTATTTAGAAATAACTATAACTACGAGTATTTAATGTCATTAGTAATAAATGCCTCTTGTCTCCAATCCCGTTGCATCTAAAACTATGATTTGCACAGCAACTTTAATTCAAAATTTAAAATATTTTATATATAAAAATAGCCTTCGCCCTCGATCCCGTCTGCACGGACATAAAACAAAAACAAAAGTAAGTAGCCTATATATTGTCCCAGACTATCCTCCACATCTGTGCCAAATTTAGTCGAGAGAGAGTAACATTGATCCATAAACGGAATAATTAGTATCCTATGTCCGTCTCCTGGCTCTAAGCTACCTCCTCACCAATTTTCAGCCATCGGTAAAGTAGATATATGAAGAATTGTGTAAAAGTAGTGACCAGGGAGTGCGCCCACTGCAGCAGCACGGTGCGCGTGTAGTGCGCCGCGTTGAGCACGGCGAGCAGCGCGTGCGGGCCCGCGCCCAGCAACGCCGCCGGCCGCAGCTCGCGCAGCGCCGCGCCCAGCAGCTGCGTCAGCCGCACGCGCCACTCCTCTATCAGCTCCAGCTGCAGCTCCACGAACTGCAGCCTGCGACAATACTGCCCTGCAATACTTACTCTATCTCCCCTACAATACTTACTCTTTCTTACTGTATGGGCTAAAACATGAATAATTATTATAATACACAGCATATGATTTGATACTCATGCGACCAAATAATTCTGTCTAACGTAGAGTCGTAGATAGAACGTGGTAGAGCCCGCTTTAACATCTTCGCACGAATGGGTCAGCTCGCCCGGTGCAATACCACGACCACACAGAAGACAGACGTGAAGTGGAAGCAATTTCGCGTTTCGTCTGATGAGTGTGGTGCCGGTCGCTCAGCTTTAGTCCCTTTTCCTTCCTACCCTTTCTCTTATACGAAAAGTATGGGGAGAGAACGTGGGTTCGATGGTGCAGGATACGCATAGGAAGGGGAAACATCCTCTTTATGTGCGTCTCCTCCTCCGTCAACAAAAGGCAACACAATAAAATTACAAGACATATTGAAACTTGCTGTATCCTAATTTGTTTGACAAAGATGAAAAAATTACATTGCAAACTGGTGACGTACCTATGACCGGGCTGCGGTAGCATTGCGTATCTATCTTCAATGGTCTTGAGGAGCGAGATGAACCAGTCGGCGCAGCGCGGCACCCACAGCGCCGCGCCCACCGCCACGCCCGCGCCCGCCGCCACCGGCTCGCACCACTGCGCGCTCTCCAGCGCATCGTCCATCTTTGTGAGCGCATCTATATCACAACCGACATTTTAACAACGCAGAAATAAAACACATATTGAAGTTATAAATCATACTAATATTATAAATGAAAAGAAACTAGCCGTGTAAGACTAACCGACTTTTATTCGTACAGATACATTTATAAACTAAGTTTTTTTTCCGAATCTGATTTCAAATGTTCAAACAATTGTAACTTTAGGTGGAACACCTCTAGTTTCCCCAACTATATATGATTACTTACATTTCTTCTCCACAGCTATCCAGCGAACAAAATGCTCCGCTTTGGTAAGCACATGTAGTGCCATATTCAAAGGGTAACCAGTAATGCTCTGCAGTTCTCGATGGAAGCCTAGAGTCTCGTCAACCGCGTGAGCGAAAGCAGCATCTACGTCTGCTATCTCGCCTTTGGTCCCTTGAGATATGTACAATCCTAGAACTGTATGTAGTCTCTCCGCAGCAAATGATATTAGACCATTATTGAATTCATCCTATAATAAAAAAGATTTATGTACATTCATATATTCGATAAGCGTAAATATAAAGCTGCTTCTACACATTTATTTGCATTATGGAAATTTAATAAAAATGTATACTAGTTACCACAACATTATGACTGAGTTCTAGTTTATCAGCTACTGGTTGCACATGGTCATTGACAAACTTCCGATGGTCCTTTATCCAAGTAAGTGTTTGTGTTAAGAACCATTCGGGCCTGTCGATGCGCGCTGTCTGACGTGTACCCGTAAAATGAAATTGAAACCTCTTTTTTAAAGGTCGAAGCATAATCCTCACAGGCAGACTTGTTTGAGAACCTGAAATTTTTTTTAATCTTGAAAATCTAAAATCAAATGTAATACAAAAATGTATCTTATATGTATCTTAAAATTTCTTATTTTATGGTGACAAACCAACAAATGGTCACTGCAAATCATGTAAATATGGAAGTGATTACTGCCCATGGACTTTTTCAGTAACTTATCTGAGTTGCCTATCTTAATTCAATAGACAAATGGATGCACATAAATAGTATTTCCCCTATATGTAACAACATATTTAATTCATTGGAATGGGATTGAGATATATATACAGTAGATATTACATCATAAGGTCATATATGTACCTGAACTCAAATCCTCTAAGTTACTAATAGGTATTAAATCCTCTGGTTCTTGTATAATAAACAAATATCTAGTAAGATTACTAAATTTCATCAGCACATCTTTAGACGGTTGAGAAGTCTCTGATGCTGAGGTGATAGGCCACTTTAATACTTTTAAAACATCTTCATAATGCCTTTAAAAAAATACAAACAATACAATAACACAATTAGGAGATCACAATAAAATAAGATTTCAATTATTTTCTTTAAAAAAAAAGTTGTATAGATAAATAAGTACTGTCCTTAGCACATCACTATCATCTTTAAAATGACAAAAAAATGTCTATTACTTACTTGGTAAAGTTTTCTTTTAAAATATTATGCCAGTAATGTTTATATTCCTTGGTGTAAGCAGCTAGATGTACCTGCGTGTTGTCTCTGCACATGTCCTTCAGCTCCCCATACAGTTGAATTAACTGCTCATTGTCACGGCATTGTTTCATTTGACGACTAAATAAAATGACAAACATTATGAAGTGTTAACATATACAACAGAATTGTATTGGTGGTTGCTTAATGATTGTTTGACCTAATTCATTATGCACTTCTCTACATTAATGGTGTAAAATTTCACATTGATCTGTGTAAGCAATATTTCTAATTTACAGTACAGTTTTCGATACACATAATCACATAATGAGCTCAAAATTTTCTATTTACTGAATGCATACCCATGACAAATGCATTTAGATTTTTTCAATGTTGACAAACAAATTTTAGACCAAACTTTGAAATGTAGGAACTTACGCTAACTTATTCTTCAATGATCCTACAAAATTATACACTTACCTTAACTCATCAAGCTTTTCAAATGATTTAAAATATAATAACACCCCTTCTAGTTTGCTAATAGTAGAAAATCTTTTGTCAAGTTCATCTCTAAAAGATTCAGTTTTGCTAAGAAATTCATTAATCTTTGTCTTTAAATTTACACTCTTGTTTTTAATGTCTGTTATTTGATTTATATTTGCTTCAGCATTTCGAATAGTCGCCGAATGTTTGGCGGACGCTTGATCATTATCAAGGCCTTTAGTGGGCGATAATTGTGCTGTCTGATTTGTATTACTTATGTTAGAAAAGTGAGCTATGCAATTTTCAAGTTGCTTTTTTTTACGCTGCAGTTCTTGTTCAAATTCGTAAGCATCTTCTAAATTGTTAATATCTGAGCCGATTCTGCTGTTCAGTTTGTGGATAAGATCGACTTTATCATCGGTTGATAATGTAGACGTCATATTGTACAATTTTAAGTCATCATTTCATTTTCATAAAGAAATTTGAATATAGATGCTACAAAGACCAAAACATATATGGTTTGAGAGCGTTACAAGACAATTATTTACTGCAGAACAAAATAATCTATAACAAATATTGAATTGATTGTTAAACTTGTTATTCTCCAATTGAACATGAATATTGATTTATATTTTACTTTACGCTTCGCCTCATCACTTTAATAGTTTGACATTGACAATGACATATTGACGTAACGATGGTTTGGTTACTGGTCAGGGTACTCAGTCAGCAGATAAAACCTAATGAATTGTATGTATTAATAAGTAGCAACACTAATAATTGTCAAATAGTCAAATGTATTATCTATGTCAATGATTTTTATAAAAACAAACTTGAGGATTCGAGAATGACAAACATTTTTTCAAACCAAAACTTATATTTGTAATATTTGTTTGTAAGCCAGTAGTTGAACAAGCAATAAATCAAAAATAAGTGTACGATTGTATTGATATAATAAAGTTTATCGTCAAAAATGTCTATTGGCACTGTTTACGAAACAGCCTACAAAGGAGATTTTAATCAAGTTAAAGTTAAAATAGATAATGATAAGTCCTTAATTGAAACACCCGATTCGGTAAATAATTTGATTTTATTTATTATTTTATAAAAGTGAATTTGTGGGGAATATAATGTCTCCTAACATTTTTTTCCAGAATGGCAGACTTCTTATTCATTGGGCTGCATTAGGCGGTAACAAACATTTAGTCGATTATTTAATTGAATTAGGATCACCTATAAATCCTGTTGATGACACGAATAGTAGTCCTATTACATTAGCTGCATCAGCAGGTAGATATGATGTTGTTAAATTGCTAATTGATAAAGGTGCCAATGTAAACCATAAAACATATCGTGGACAAACACCTCTCCATTATGCATCTTCAAAGGGACACAAAGAGGTAAATAAATAACATCCATTAAAGTTTATAAACTTTTTAAAACTATTGATAACATTTTATATTATAATTTAAATTAAACATTTCTGTAATGTTCTAAGCAATTTTATTATGGTGATTATATTGTTATAGATTGTTAAACTGCTAATAGATTCTGATGCTAGGGTCAATGAAGTTGATGAACTGAGAGCAACGCCACTGCATAGAGCTGCCGCTCAAGGCAGAAGCAGTATTGTAGAATTACTTTTGGAAAGTCCCTCAATCATTGTTGATCTCTGTGATTCTACAGGATGTACGGCTTTGTAAGTATTTCATTCATTTCAGACACTTTAAAATATCTAAATCATTCATCAATAGGACATGGTAATAACAAGGGCAAATCCTAAATGAGAAAATCATATCTTCATTTAGATTATTCTAAACATTTAGATCTCAGAATTATCCACACTGTTGTATCATGTGTTATATATGCTCAGGTCAATACTGCTTATATTATCATCTACAAAGCATCTTAACACATTTAATAGTCCAAGTAAATATCAATATGTTAAAAAGGGTTTGTTACAGTTTTTTAATAACTATTTTTACTAAATCTTGTTTTTGTTGTTTAAACATTTTAACATGTTTCAGACATCTCGCCTGTGAGGAAGAAAGAGAAGCAGTGGCCTGTATGTTGGTTAAAGCTGGGGCAAGTTTTAGTATAAAAAATAAAGAAGAAAAAACACCACTTGATTTATGTTCTAACAAACTGAAAAATATGTTGCACAATCTATTGGAATAAAAATAAATTGCAAATTCATTCTTCATTTTTTTTACGTAGATCAAGTTGTATACTGAAGTCTTTGTTTTATTTTGCTGTATTTTATTATGGAATTACTCATTTCGGAAATAACTTTTGCAATTTTACAATCAACAATTTTCACTACATAGATTGGAATTTATTATGGCAATACCAATTTGATTAATGACAAGCAAATACTGACAGCTTGTCACATCAGTGTAACCAGATTCATTAAAGTCCTGTGATTTTAGCAGAATTGATTCCGATTGTTTTTAATATAATAATAATAATAATCATTTAATTCAGACGTTAAAGATTTTAAAATTAATTCTAAATAAAAATGGTTTCAATAAAATCTTAAAAAGCCTATGCAAATCTTATTAACGTTTAATGTGTGGAGGGTTTTTTTCTCAACTTAATTTTACACATATATGTCAGATTTTTTCTTGTCAGGCTGATTTTTAGATGCGATGGTCACACTCACCAACTTGCCATATATTTACCTACATTATAAAGTAATTGTAAATGTAATTTTAATTTAATCGGTTGTTTTGTCACTCTGTGCTAACTGTGTTTTTTGTGTATTGTTTACCATTAATTTGTTACGTATAAGTAATTAGTTGGTTCAAACAAATCTTCGCTCAACATTATTATGTAGAGTTGATCAGGTTCATACCAAATGCAAACTAGATTTACCTGTACCTGTACGTCAGTCGTTTCAAAGTAGGTGTGATGCTGTATTAGCATCATCTTTTTAACATTAAAACTGGTGTAAATGAAATAAACTTGTGATATGTTTTGTAACAAGACAGGGTACCTGGCCTTTGTAAATTGAGTGTTCGGAGAGATAATTAACAGAATATATCGTAAGAAGAAATTATAATCAATCAATATCACATTGTTATTTTTTAAATAAACAACTTCTAAGCATTCTGCGTTGTTTCTTACAGAAAACAATATAAATGATGTCGGCGTCATACTACGACTACTACGATGGTAGCAAATTGTTTCTATTCATTTCAAGTAGAATTGGTCTGCCTATAGATCTTGTAAGTATTATACTATTACTTGAATTGTTGATAGCACTTGAATGTATCATGTAGGTATCACTCAAATTGTATCAGTCTATTTTTATAGACTGTGTAGTGCATAGTACTGCACATTTAAAATATGTAGAATAGATATATCAGTGTGTTTTTATACAATCATGATCAATTTCATTGATTTTGTCTATTATTCATTTACCACATCAAAATCTTACATATAACAGAATGCTGCTTTGCTTTTAATTGTACAAAATGGGTCAGCCTAGTTTAAAAAAAAAGGAAATTTTTACATATCTCAATTGTTATTGTTTTGATGGTCAAACTTAAATTTTAGAACAAACAAACAGCACACAGTTTTATTAATATCATATTGTCATGTTTTCCTTCCATTAGGTTAATTTTTTGGTAGCACAAGTAGCAGCACTATGCCTGGCCAGACTATTTCGGAAACCATTGCGACTAGCTTCACCAGAATTTCGTCATTCTGTGTGCCTTGTTATAGGTTTGCTAATGGGATATTTCTGCTTTGGAAAGTAAGTTCAGCTTTTAGATTTTTTTAATCATAAAAATATGATTTATTACATTTGCCTGCAAGCTATAAACTAGATGTAAATGTTTGGTTTTTATATAATATTATATCTATGGGCATGCCACTAATTTATGTTTTAAAATGTTCATATACAATATAAATATATCACTTGATTTAACTATTAGGTTCATGTGTCAGAATTTCCAGTCTTTAAAAATTTGTCTTCCATACAAGCAATACCTTGTAACATATACAGTATAGATATAGACAATTATGCCATATCATATCATGAATAATATCAATGTAGCAAATTTTATCAATTGTAGTATATAACTATCGTCACATTCTCCACAGCAGAATGACTATGTCAATTGATGGCAATAAAAGTCTATTGTATTGCTATGAATGTGAACCACAAGTGCCATGCGTCATTCATTTCTTGTGCAAATACTTATTCGCAATTTGATTTCTTATCTTTAATTTATCAATTGATTTTTAGCTATCAAACTGCCAAACTCAGAGTAGTAAGGAAGATCTCATTTAGGGAGACCTTTTATCCAGAGTTATTACCAAAGATGTACACTAAAAGACTGTTTAATTGGCTATTAAAGAACTCTGTGTATTGCCACATCTTGTAAGGCAAATTCATTGCTGTAAGATGAAGGAAATTTGAAACTGATTATTTAAATACATATTTATTATTAATTTATAGCCTTGCTTAATAATTCAGCGCTTATCGTGCATAGTGAAGCAAAATGCGCGTGACCCTATAAAAATACTTCCGTTAATACAAATTTTTGAGTCCCCTTCTATAGAACTTTCCTATAAAAGTCCAAAATATATTAAAAAGATTTTCTTGTTTTAGCATTTAAATATTTTGGCTGTTAGATTGTCTTTAATTTTATTTAACTGCATTTAATTAAGAAAAGAATATCATCTATAGTAAGAAATAAGTAAAAAAATGTATATTAGTTTTATTATATCAAAACACCTTGTGCAAGGATAATCTTTGTATCTCTGACCCACGCGCGTTTACGACTTGATAATTAAGTTTTTTGTTCGGAATCACGTCATTAATAGTAATAATTGTGACAGCAATCAACTTATAATTAGATATCAATACACATGCATTGTGCTAACATGTCTTGATATGAGTCGAGGACGTACATGGATGCATAATTTTACAATATGTAGTAACACTGCAAAAATATTATTACAAAAGCAATAACACCTAAATTCCAGTTTATAAAATATTTTTCTTAAATTTATTAAGGGGCTTTGTTGCAATGCGACCATACCACCCCATAAGTCTTCTAATTCTAATTAATGACACATCTGTATATCTTAAATTATTTCCTAAACGAATGTTGGCCAACTTAGAACACCATCTGTCTGGACGGGTAACAGGATATTATTAATTCGACCGACATTAAGCCCTAAAGCCTAAAAATGATGTAGCCTAAAGCGTTCGCTCTCGACATACTCCAATGCTTTTTGGATGTCTTCCATCATATTATTAAAATTATAAACTACTAGCTTTCGCCCGCGACTCTGACCGCGTGCATTAAAATAAACTAAGTAGCCACATAGTTCTTTCAGACTATACTCTTACATCCATGCCAAATTTCGATATCTGTTCAGCCGTTTAGGCTACAAACTCTAACAAACATCCATCCATCCATCTAAACTTTCGCATTTATGATATTAGTAAGATGTTATATATACTTCGTTGAATTAAAAGAAAAACTTTTAAACTTCGCAAGCTACTACGCCTTAACGAAAACGTGTGATAATTTAAAATATGCGAGTAATTGTTATAAGAACTGCACATTATTTTGGAGATTTATTCCAGATAGCGATAAAGTTGATAAAAATATAAAACATTAATGGGAAGGAATAATATAAAAATACATAAATACTTATCAAATAGAGACCATTTTAATATTAAACTTTTTTTTTAACACAGTTAAAGAACACCTTTGAGGTGGCGTGCCCATAGTTATTAAATCATCTAGCTTCGATTTGCATTTAAGTTTTTTCCCTTTTTTTTCAGACAAGCGGTCCATTTATCAATTTTACCGATGTTAAGTTTCATACTATTAAAGACGCTACCTCATCGCATCATGGGAAAGTATGTAATTTCTTGAATAATTTTTAAACAGAGAATCTATAATTTAAGATAAAACCTTGAAAATAAAATTTACAGTCACAGTAAGAATCTATTTCGTCAAATCTACTGTTCTTGATTCTTCTAACTTATTAATTAACTGATATTTAGATTTGTAACGCTAATTTCAAAAACGTATCAACTAATATTAAGAATGTTTTTGTAGTGTAATATTGACGACGTCAATGTTATATTTATCCTGTCTCCACTTACATCGGCAGCTGTATCATACGGCGAATTACTCACTAGATATAACAGGTACGTATATTTGACGTGAATTGTATTCATTGATAATAATGTTATTATGCAATGACGCATCGTATGATCGCTTGGAGGGGTCTATTTCAACAGTAGACTATTGAGATGATGGATAAACATTGTCTTGTTATTGTAACCCAAGGGAATAAGTTCCCGTATGAAAAATCTTATTCATACTCAAGGAATTTGTTTAGTATTAAATTATGTTTTTATGATGATTAGTTTATTTTTTAAGTGATGATAAAAAGTCGAACACAGTTGGGGTAAATGGTATAGTAATTGCATCTTTAATGCTTGGTTTCTGAAGTTCCCGCTTATTTTGACATTACCTAGCGATTCATAAATGTCAGATTGACCTAAGATTCAATGGAGTAAAACTCACGTTACGTGGTTCGGAAACGTATCTGGGAAACCGGCTATAAGTTATAGATTCAATGACGCGTATGTTTCTTTTGATAATTTACGTATGTTCTAAATGTAGAAAGTTGATTAACGTTTGTTGCTTTGTTTAGCGTATGAGTAACGCACCAAAACAATGTTTCTCTGCAACAGTGCTATATTACTTATTGGCAGTTCGGTAATCGCTTAGCGTTCTGTTTGAACAATTAACATGTAATGTATTGAAGTTACGTCAACTTGCATGCATGAGCGCAGCTTGTATCATTGATACAAATAACCTACGAACCGTACAACTATAGAAATATCGTCTAATAACTCGTGTACAGTCTAAAGTACTTATTTTTGATTACTTACATTTGTACCAAAACATTTTGTATTTATTTATATCCTCAATACATTACTTAAATTGACAAATCTTTTAACAAGGTCCACTAATGGTAATAACTCAGAGGGTCACGTCACTAGCGTATCTTCTACAAGACAATCTGCTTAAGAAAGAGATAAACTGCAACAATGCGAAAGGCGACGGTCCAGCTGCCAAAGTCGACAAGATACCTTCACCTCTGGAGTACTTTGCATACACACTCGCCTTCCAAACCCTCATGTGCGGCCCTGTCGTCTTCTACTCAGATTATATCAAATTTATCGAAAGTGCTCGTGTTGACGGGGTAAATATAGTAACCATATTTTTTTTATATTTAAAGCGAAATATATATGATTCAGCTAATATTATGTGACCGTTCTTACAAATGGACATCCAAAATTATAGAGATTTTAAGGTTGTTAGATATATAATAACAGTTTGAACTTTTTTTGAAGTGGAATATTTAAAGAATATTTTTAACTTTTATGTAAACTATACATTACATTAAAAATAAAATACACACACTGTTAATAAATGAGCAGCCTTATCATGATAATTTATTATTAACTGGATATTATTTCAAGGTTCACACAACTTAAGAACAAAATTGCATGTTGAAATCATAAATAGGAAAATTAATAAAATTTATTTTTTAAATTCTGACAGACAGGACAAAGCGGTAAATACCATTTTTCATTTTGCTACTGAAAACTAGTTAGTATTCAATGGATTTAGAGTTTTATGGTGTCGTGAAACATAAATTTATATATTTTATTATGAATTGCAGGTAGTGAAGGACAAATCGAATGAATCAGAGCCGTCGCCGCGGCGCGCCGTGCTGTTCAAGGTGGTTGGGTCAGTCGCCGCGGCCGTGCTCTACCTCACGTTGGCGCAGAAGTACCCTCTTACTGTTCTAGAAGGTGAGCGACATTGCTCATAACAAGGGTGTTTAATTAAATCATGTTAGCGGGCGCACATCTCAAACTAAACTATCGCACAATAGTTGTGCGATTGTCTATTTCGCAGTCAATTACTGTTAAGTTGCACAGATAAAAATCGATTAGCGCACCTTCATATAAGCTCATAGGAGTCAAAGCGAGACTAAACAGTGGTGCGATGAATTAGTTTCAAATGCGCGCACGGTCTAAAAGGGATTACGGAATTCCTTTTCTATTATAAGTGACGTTTGATACGGTTTATATGTTTTAGGTCTTTCAATCTATAAGCGTATCAGAAATGCATTATCGTGTAACCAAAAAATTTAAGTTAGCTTCCTAATTCGTTTGTATTTTTATTAGTTTTGTCGCATATAATCTTGTCATGCGTAATTTGATTAATTTGGTATGCAACATACATATTCGAAGTCTTACACATAAAGAACTTATATTTCGTGGCCAGAATTTATTAACATAATTATAACTATAACGTAGATAATGTAAAGCTTTTTAAGCAATTTTATTTCGATTTAGATTTTTTAAGTTAAAGGTGTAGGTTAAATATTCCAGGTTAATTAATTACTATGATTAATTAATTATAAAACTCTTTAAGAATAAAATTTTCGAATATACATTAGCAATTTTCAAGGCCGACTGTTTGCCTGGCGACATAAATTACAATTTATTTAAATTAAAGGTATTAACTAACACAAAAGTTATAAATAAAGTCATCCAGTTAATGTGAAACACGTGAACGTGAATGAAAAGGCAAAAAATTCTTTATAAAGTCAGCGGTTCGCATAGATAATAGTCTTGAAACAAAAAAACCCTATTTTTTTCCTGTTATAACATTTTAATGCGAAAATACTTTGATAGCTATCTCTATAATAACTTTAGAATAAAATTTTGAAAAATGCAATTGTAATTTGCTCAACTAAACTGGTATTATAGGAAATTGTACGTTATTTTTACTTGTAATTCGAAAATAATGATTGCAGTTTAGTAATTATTTCATAGGAATTCATATCTCCTTACAATATTATTGAATATCTACACTAATATTAAAAAAAAAAAATTATATTGTTAAATGTGTTGGAATGATTTAAAAAAAAATCTTTTAAAAAAATGATTAACAGGCTATGTTTTGTTTACTTTTTTCTAAATGGCCAAACTCGCGAGCAACAGCTAGCTAGTATGTTAAATAATGTATTTCCTTGTATTGTAGAACTAACAGACCCGACATCGGAGGTGTCGCGGTCGTGGTCCGCAGTGTACCTGCTGTGGTACGCCTACCTCTCCACGCTGGTGGTGAGGTGCAAGTACTACCACGCGTGGCTGCTCTCTGAAGCCATCTGCAACAACTCCGGCATGGGATTCAACGGTTACGAGGCCGATGGCACCCCCAAATGGGACAAGATGTCCAACATTGATGTCTTCGGATTTGAGGTAAAAAATAATGACCAATTGAAAAAAAATAGTAATACACTTATTTTTTTAAGCTGGTGCAAAATAAATTACACGCATTACATATTTTCTCAACCTGTTTGTACATCTGAGAGCAATTAAAAACTTGTTCAAAAGTAATGTACATCGATCTTACTAACTTACTTCTTACTAATATTATAAATGCGAAAGTTTAGATGGATGGATGGATGTTTGTTTGTTAGCGTTTGTAGCCTAAACGGCTGAACGGATCTCCATGAAATTTGGCACAGGTTTAGAGCATAGTCTAGAAGAACACATAGGATACTTTTTATCCCGGGAATAGTTACGGTTCCCGTGGGATTCATTAATTTAGTTTTTTAATGTTCACTCGATCATTCTGCAACGGTTCAACATATCTTATTGAAATTCGGCACAGATATAAAACAAAGTCTGGAGTACACATGGGATAAGCTTCATCCCAGAAAAATGTCCGGTTCGGTTCCCGAGGGATACGTAGCTTTTTGTAATTCATATAGTTCGTATGTTTTCTAATACCACGCGGGCGAAGTCGCGGGCAACAGCTCGTCTAACATATTTTTTCGCATTAGCTTTCGCTTGCGAATCTGTCCGCGTGAAATTAAAAAAGAAACATGTTCAATGTAAATAGCCTATGTGTTCATCCAGACTATGTTCTACATCTAGACCAAATTTTATCGAAATTCATTCAGCCGTTTAGGCTACAAACTCTAACATCCATCCATCCAAACTTTCGCATTTATAATATTAGTAAGATTACATTTTTTCCAATTTGTATTCTCTGTAATCTTTTTCCTTTCTTTCCTTTCCATCCTACCTTTCACCCTCACCCTTCCTTTCCATCCTACCTTTCACCCTCACCCTTCCTTTCTATCCTACCTATAGTACTAAAACTCTGTATACTACTTAGATAGTGATAGGATTTTCCTTTATATGTTTAATAATGTGTTTGTGTGCGTCAGTTCGCGGGCAACTTCCGCACGGCGGTGTCGAGCTGGAACCGCAACACGAACACGTGGCTGCGCAGCGTGGCGTACGCGCGCGGCGGCGGCGGGGCGGGCACGGCGCGCGTCTACGCGCTCTCCGCGCTCTGGCACGGCTTCCACCCCGGATACTATCTCACGTTCTTTGCTGGAGGACTATTTACTATCGCCGCTAAGAAGGTAATCAACAGTGATAGTTTTTTTTAACTACAAAAAAAAAATTTGTCCCTATAAATCTTTTTCAATAGGTCAGATATGATAAATTCCATTTTATTGCATTACAGCACAAGCGATAAAATCATTTAGAATTCTTAAAGGCAGTATTAAAATATGAAACACTCGATATATGGAAAAATATATAAAATTTTAATTTTTGGCAATTATACCTATATTAATAAGCCATACCGAGCAATAATGTAGTTATCATTGTCTGAGCTATGACCCAAAATTATACTGTTTCTATTTTTTTCCAGGTCCGCGCTGTGATTCGTCCTATGTTCTTAGACAGCAGACCTAAAAAGTTCTTCTACGACTCGCTGACGTTCATCACGACCCGCGTCGCCATGACCTACGCCACCGTGCCCTTTGTCCTGCTGCATCTGACGCCTAGCCTCGCATTTTACGGGTAAGATATTTATTAATTAATTCAATGAAAATTTTTACATATGAACTTACTTAAGACACCTAAAAATTCTAAAGTAACCAAGTAAAAGTAGTATCGCGGCTAAGATGAGTTTAGATAAATTGGATCCAAATACAACTTATATGATAACTAGAGCTTGATAAGAGACTTGTCTATTTATTTTATTTTCAGGAAATTTTACTACTCGTTACATTTTATTGCACTGGGCGCGTTATTACTGCCCAGTAAGTCAGGCAGTATGTCAACCAGCACGTCAACACACGAACTTCCGCCGATGTCTTCCAAAGGGAACAAGGACTTACAAACCGATACAAATGGTGACCTCAACGGTAAACTAAAAATATCCTAAAAGATGACATTTTTATATCTTTATAGCAATTCTTTTAAATATCTCACTAACATTTGCAGAAGTAACTTGCATTTATTTCTATTATGAATAACAAAGTATTATTTTTTCGTTTTTAATTATTTTTTATGTTATGGACAGCCATAGTTAAACCATATACTGGCTTTAGATATTTCGATAAATTGCACAAAACTAATTTTATTTATTACAATTCAAAATATAATATTTAATATCATTACATTCTTTACAAATGTAAAAATAGATGACGAATATATTACTATAAATTTAATTATACTTTCAATGGACTTCCAGATTTACATAGGTGAACAAATCATATTTTTTTACTAATAGTTGTGTGACTTTTAAGGTTTAATACGAGAAAGACATATTTTCGCGTCAAAGAAATACTAAACACAAAGAGAGGAGCCAATAGTTATGTTAAGCTTTGTAGATTTTTGTCTCTGTCACACAAAGCTACTTTTTATTCCAAAAAAATAGTGAAAGAGATGGCGCTCTACAAAAAAGTACTTTTCGTATTGTCTCCATCTAAATTTCGATTTGCAATATTTTTTGTTGCTTATATTTGTGACAAAATATTAACATGTTTAATTTTATAACAAAACATTAAATGAAAATGTTTATAGTTAAATTCATTTATTTATAATGTTACAGGTCCTTACAATATAAAATTAAATACAATTATATAACTATATTATACAAATCGACATATCAACAATCCACAAATAAAATCGATAGTTCATTAAAATGTATTTTTAAGGTTCTCATTTTATAATAAAAATTATGGTATAAGTATCTTTATTCATATATTTTATAATAGTTTTAAAGAAAGCCTATTAGAGAATGTTATGTTTTTGTTTTAAATATTAAAGAAGAAAATATTAATTCTATTTTAATTGCTTTACTGATTTTAACAATGTTAAGATTGTTTTTTAAACAATAGTCTTTACTTTTTATAATATTGAAGAATCTTGAGAGTTTGTATGATGAATGGAATTAAATGTTCTTTTTTTTTGTTAAACAAAGCAGCTTATGGGTCCAATCCAAGGGAAAATATTTAATTGAAATGTTTTTTTATGAAAGTGGTGTGCCACTTGTTAATTGATGATTATACAGATTATATTAATTTTATTTATTAAAATACTCCATTAAAAATAGTTTTTAGTGTAGAGTCCAGCAAATATCTTGAAAGCTATGTTGCAATTATTAGTGTCATAGTGAGTATTGATTGTTTTGATGTTATTATTTTCAATTGTTATTTGCCGATCACTATACTCAGTCTTAGTTAATAATTTTAGATTTAATATTATTGATTGTACCATGCAAGTTTTGTTTTTAATTATTGATTAAATTACATAAATTGTATGTTTTACCCAACCCAAGTTGAGTTTTAATTCTTGAAGATATTTGTTATAAACTGTTGTTTTCTTTTAACCAATTATGATGGAAATGTACAAATGATATGTGTGTGATATAGTATATGTACTTGATGTGACGGAAACTAATATTGGTGATGCTTTACAAGAATGAGAAATATTTTATTATATATAAAGATTTATATATTACAGTTGCCAACTGGATGAGCCAGTTTATTACCTCAATAAGGAATTGCAACTATTTTATATTTGTTGAATGATAATAAAGTATTTTAATATAATGATATTACACTTTATTTTACCCCTTTCCTGGTGATTCAAAGGGTTAAAACCAAGAACTAATGTGACTAACCTTTTATTGAATCTTTTATTGTTAAAAATGATTTTCTGATGCAACTCAAGACACCAGGTACATCATTTGTTTCTTGAAGTTTTCTTTGTAGTTCTTTGAAGTTTTTTAATTGTGGATTTGTACTTAGCACTGAAAAAATACATGACAAATAAATAAAATACCATTTAGTAGAATTGTAAGCTAAAGTAATTTAGAAGTTACTCTTTAAAACAATTTGCATATTTTGGATGTAAGTGAAGTATTAAATTTGAAATTGAAAAAATTACGAAGTCCTCAGTTGTAAAAGTTCTATCATTAACATAAAAATAAAATAAAAAATATTCTTACACTCATATTTGCATTTACTGATGTCTCTTTGTAACCGGACACTGTATTTTCCCGAGTCTTTTCTTGCCTCAGTAAAAAATTGTATAAATATAGTTTGGCTATTATCTTTTTTTGATTCAATAGTAAAATACATTTTTAAGAATTTCTTGTAATATTTCTTTGCCATCAAAAATGCTTCATGCTTCTCTTTGATTTCTTGAATCAAAAGTTTTTGATCTGAAAAAAATATTAGGTAAAATATTAAAGCTCTATTTAAATTTTACATCTGCAATTTTAAATACATTTTAAACTAAAGATATCTAACACCATTTATCTGGTATAGATGATGCAACAACTGCAAAATTACCAGTCCTACCCACAAACGCACACCATATAGAGTTGAAATTAGTTGATGCTGGCATAAATGCATATGTGCTAGCTATTAAGCTTATGAAATTGATTAATCAATTCTACACTTAGCCAAGTAATAGTTGTCAAAACAGTCTGTTATTGAAAATGCATTGCATAAGATCCACAACATTGTACATCTATATGGTCATTAATAGGATTGAGAGAAATAGCATTTTCTATATTCCACATATGTAGTATTTTTAACAATAATCAAGTTTACCCAAATATTTTGAATGGGTACATCCAAAACTTTTTGTGTAAAAAACTGGTACATGGTAAAACAACAAACCTTGCTTAAAAGTTTCATATTGTTTTTGTTGTTGCTGAAGTTCCTTAAGTTTTATATCAATTTCTTGTTTTAAAGTTTTATTCTTTTCAATAAGATCTCTTAAATCATCATCACTTTTCTGTGTAATATCTTTAGATGTATGATTGTCTGCTGTAAAGGTATTTTCAAATGTTTTTAATGCACACTCTTGAAAGTTTTTCATTATTATTTCAAAATTTGTAAAGTTGCTTTTCTCGATATTGAGTATATCGAATTCATAATTCCAATTTCCTTCTACTGTACACATTTCTATAACTATTTTGGCTTTCGAGACTTTAAAAATTTAACTTTAATATCACTATTTGTTTAAAAATCAAACAAGCGTCAAATTCGAAATATAACGATTCAAGAAAAGTAGTGTTGCCAATGAAAATGAAATTTTCTACCCAGCCGTTTACACTGCAAGGATCAATACTAAAAAATGAAAAATATTTCAACCATAGCTAAATGGCACTAATTTAACGCCATCAATGACAAAAATTATAACACGTTTAAGAGTAAATAAATTATTTAAATTTCTGTATTCCCGCTACAATTCATTGTTTTCAATGACATTTTTTTATTTCTAAGGATTAAAGGATCACTGTAGATTTTCATAAAGCTGCCGAACCTGCTATGGTCTTAGGGTTGCGGCGTTTAACGAATTTTACAGTCGGAGTTTGTTACTTGTTAGCTGGCTTAAAATGCTAAAGCCGTAGAACACGGCAGTTGCCTTAGCATAGGTAACACTGATGCTGACAGAGCATGACAGATGATCATAGACTATACATTGTCTTCTATTTTCTAATGTGGCAAAATAATTCAGAGACGAAAATTAAAAAGTATTTGATTTGTAAACAATCTTTATATCTTACTCATGACTTCGTTTACCATGAGAAATGCCTAAGAGAATACCAAAGTACTATTTAATAAACGTAATCTACTTAAAAAAAACTGTGTTAATAAATTGTGCATGTACATTGTTAGTGTCACATTCTATTTTTTATTTTCTGTTCCAATCGTGAATTTTATTTTGTGGCAGCACCGGAAGTCTGAATTCAAGAGTAGTACATTTAATTAGGTTGCACCAGAAATAAAATTACATTTTTCCATTCCAGGTTTACGAAAGAGTATTTTTTATTTCTAAATATTGAAAAAAATTAAAGAAAAAGTTTTTAAATTCGCATATCGTTAGCACTGCTCTCACGTACTAAATACAAATTTGGCAATTTGCCATGAACTTCCGGTGTAAGATAAAGACACACGCGGATCTATCAAGAAAAGAACGCGAATAATTACAAAAATATCTAAAAAATTAAGACTTATTTAGTAATTTTACACTGTCTCATATTTAAAAATGTCCAATAACGGTGCTCCGGACTCGTGGGAAAGTCAAGCCGAAGTCGTAGGTGAACAAGGTGCACAAGATTCTAATGATGTGTCTTCAAAAATTTCCACGTTGAATGTGAATGCCGTGGAGTTCGTGCCTTCTTTTTGTAAGCCTTCGCAGGCTAGCGATAATTCTGAATCACCTACCACACCACAAAAATCTGAAAGCGATTCTACAAATTCTGCAGAGAGTCCTGTCCTAAACGGTTAGTCATACGAATGTCATTATTTATTTCCATAGAAAAGTAATTTAAAACTTTACCAGGTATAATTTTTTTTAACAATAGCGATGACTGACATTATTTAAAAATTAAATTTAATTAAACATTTACGTCAACGTGTTGCCGATTCGACAAGTGATTTTCTAAATCCAGTTCTAACGGGTTATGTCGAGACACGCGGCGCGCGGCTCTGCTTTTACATCATTAAACTTTCTCTCTAAGAAGTTCCTTCAGTCGCTTAATACATTTACAAATGGAACACAGTAGAGGTGCGTTTTATTTACTTTAATATAGATTTATCGCAAATTATGCGTTATACTACATATTTTATGTACAAACATCGCTTTTTCTCCCGTACAATCTCGTTTTCAAAACATTTTGCAACTAATTTAAATGTTCTCGTAGAACCCAAATATTATTTTCAAATATATTTAAGTTAGTTCATGTATTTCCAAAGTAAAATATATTAGGTTTCAGATATAACCTAGTTGAATTACCGTTTGACATGTTAACATATATCCTGCATCATATCATTATTGAAAAATTTCCTAAATTTGTACTTATTAACCTATTCTGACTCTTATTTTTAAAGCCTTGTTAAGTAAAACATTTATTTTTAATAAAATACTTAACTATTTCTATACTTGTCATTCATTTGTAACTTTCACATACAAGATTATTTTGCCACATGGCATTTGCTTAATGATAAGGGTTATTGTCTATAACATCTGGTGCTTATGTGATTAGCACAATACCCATAATCCATTTTATTTTTTTGTGTCATAATGGTAGTGTGAATCAATTTATAAGCTGTAATGAAAATTTTATAACTTGTTACTCTTGGTATTTGATACTCCATTGCACACAAGCTGAAACAAATTCAGTGGATTTTTTTTTTGACATTAACCGCTTTTCTGAAATTCAATAAGAGAATTGCTTAGAAACTGTGACAAAGTGCAGTAATGGTGTATTTTGCACCAGGTTGTGCTGATGCCGGTGACAGTGGCGATGCTGGTGCCGCTTCAGCTTCGCCTCGGGTGGAGGAGCCACCTCCTGTTCCACCGGCAACAGTAGTGGTAGCGGCTCCTCTTCCAGTTCAATCCGACTCCTCCCCAACCATAGATAGTTGGGATGCTGATGCTGATGATGCTCTCTTAACCCCGGAAGACAACAATGAACCAGAAGAAGAAGAATTGGAGCAACAGGTGCAGGCCACTGTAATTGCATGGATTATTTTACTTTACATTAACATTCCAGTTTCATAGCACATTGATATGAGTCATATGACCTTATCGGGCATAAAATTTCCTTAAATTTTATTTGAGCATAACTTGTACATGCAAATTGTATTCAGTTTCAGTCTTACTCATTGTCTATGCTTTGATACTATGTGCTTTAATAGTTGTTTGATTTTATTGGGCTGTAACTTGGGACTTGCATGTATAATTTTTTCCTATTATTAATTTAGAGGACAAAATAAAGTGTGTGACGGCTTTTATAAACAGTTTTTTGTTTGCAATGTAATTATTTTAAATTTAGTTGACAGCCAAGTGTGTGATAAAGTTCATCTTTGCTTTTCATAATATCTTCAACTTTATCATAGTTTGGTGTGTGTTAAAAAATGGCAAGGGTATGTTTAATTTTAAAATTTAAAATAACTATAAACTAAACAAATCTTTTTTTAATTGTTGTTCTTGGAAGTTTTCTTTTATCTTAAATGTAACAGGGCATATCTTATACAAACATTTTTTTTATCACTAGTCACATGTCATTAAGACTAATACAAGTTAAAAAGTTATTTGTAGAAGCATCCATGAAAATTTTATTTATTAATTCTTTTAATGAATCTCATGCTCTCCATGAATATTTTAGCTAAATCTTTGTAACACATTCTTATTCTGCCACTGATCAACAAGGAGTTGTTAATTTTTGTTTAACCCCATTACTTGTCATGTTGGAGTCCATTTACAATGGGAGATTTGGTTTTTGAATCTGATTACTAAATTATTTTATAATACAATGATTTGTGAACTTTCCAGGAGGATGGAGAAGCGGCAAAAAAGATACCTAAAAAGAAGCCAGTCAGAGTGGAGGACACCCGAAGCAAGAAGGAACATGTGAATGTTGTGTTCATTGGACATGTTGGTGAGTTTTTATCTATACTAATATTATAAAGAGGAAAGATGTGTATTTATGTATATAATGAAATAACTCAAAAACTACTGGGCTCAAAATATTAACCATTAAAAAAGTATGTATCAGTTAGTAACATAGGTTTTATTTTTTAATATCACGGGGGAGAAGTCGCGAGCAACAGCTAGTGTTTAATAATGATAGAGGCATTGTTTACTGTAACTTCATGATATTTGTTTATTCTCAGCATATGGACTTAGCCAGTCCAATATTATTTTGAATGTAAACTAATTTCGCATTTTATTTTTATTCAAAGGTTTTCATATTATTTAGGAACTATGTTTAGTTATAAGTTTAATTGAACTAATGAGACATTTTATTGTAGATGCTGGTAAATCAACAATTGGTGGTCAAATTATGTCATTGACGGGTATGGTGGATAAAAGAACATTGGAAAAATATGAAAGAGAAGCAAGAGAAAAGTCAAGAGAGTCCTGGTACTTATCGTGGGCGCTTGATACAAACCAAGAAGGTTTGTATTTTGTTTCAAACTATAATTTAATGATTTTTTTTACACAATTATCTAATTTTAATTATTTAACATGTATTTACTGCAACTGTAATGCTGATATAATTTATATGCATTTAGTTGGGTGAGTATTAAGTCCAATTTTGTCAAGTTTCCTGCATTATTAGTCTTTCGTATTCACTAGTAATAATTAATATAAATATAATACTGGAAATGATAAATGAAAAGTCCTTAAAAAAAATCTGTTACAGTTTTTATTTTCCACTAATATTGTAGTCATGGTAATTCCTTTTCTTTATACAGAACGTGACAAGGGAAAGACAGTGGAGGTTGGAAGAGCATATTTTGAGACTGATAAAAAACATTTCACAATACTTGATGCTCCCGGGCATAAAAGTTTTGTTCCAAACATGATTGGTGGTGCCGCCCAAGCAGATCTTGCTGTACTGGTAAGAAATACTTTAAGTTTTACAATATTTCTGTACAGTCAGATCCATAAATATGTACATATAAACAAAGCCTCAGAAGATTGTATATGCCTTTGGTTCCAAATATGTTAATGTAATTTCAAATATTCCAATTACAATTTCATATTATTGATGTATTTGTGCATTAACATTTTTTTAATTAGAAGGCCCATACAAGATTGTAAAATTGATAAAGTGTACATATTTTTCTTATGATTACAGAATGTTTTTAAAAATGATGCCAAGATTGATCACTTAATTATACCTCAAAGAGTAATTTTCCTTCACAAAATGTTGATTTAACGACGACTTCCGTGTCAATGTCCAGCGATAGTTTTAGTTATACTATAAATAATATTAGCGTAGTCAACATTATGTATACTGAATTGTAGTGTAAATTGTGGGTTTTACAATTTCAGGTAATTTCTGCCCGTAAAGGAGAATTCGAGACTGGCTTTGACAGGGGAGGGCAGACCAGAGAGCATGCAATGTTAGCAAAGACAGCAGGAGTCAAACATCTAGTAGCACTTGTCAACAAAATGGATGATCCTACTGTAGCTTGGGAAGAAAAGAGGTAAATACATTTTATTGCATTTCTTTTGTTATTTATTTTTTTACAGGGGGTTTGTCGCGAAGGGACTATAACGCCCTAAAAGTCTAAAACTAACATAACTCAATTATCTAACTTCTTTCTAAAACAAATCTAGATATTTTCTTTTCGATTTTCTTTGGCCTTAATTCTATATACTTTAACTTCAGGTATGTAATTTGTATATTTTATAACATGCAGGTTGCAAATGAATTTTGTTTAAAAATGTGTCGAAAATTAACAAGAATTTAGATTCAAAAATAAAGTAAGTAACCTCGGCTAACCTATACGGAAGTGTAATTAGAGATCTTTAATTGTTATAATATTAATGTTTCAGATACAATGAATGCAGAGACAAGATCTTACCATACCTTAAGAAGCTAGGCTTCAATCCCGCTAAGGATCTATCCTTCTTACCAGTCTCTGGTCAAACGGGACAGGGCCTATTGGAGAGGGTAAGCGGTATCACATTTCTTATTCAATTAAGTATATGAATCATGAAGGGTAGAAAATCCTATTAACAAGTAAAGCCTTATCTCATAATTGGCTATTAAATACAAGATATAATATACTATAGAATTCAGTTTATGAAATGAATATAGGATAACATATGTGCGTTTTTATTGACATTATTTTACAATTTATCACTTTTTACTTAGTTGTTTTCTCATGTTATTATATGTAAGAAATGCTGATTTTTAAAATTCATCTTGTAGGTATCTGAAGAGATCTGTCCATGGTACCGTGGACCGTCATTCATCCAACTGATTGACGAGCTGCCCTCGCTCAACCGCAAGATGGACGGGCCCTTCATAATGCCCGTGGTAGACAAATACAAGGACATGGGCACCGTGCTGATGGGCAAAGTGGAAGCGGGAACAACTCGCAAAAGCAGCACACTTTTCCTTATGCCCAATAGAGTAAATTTGATGTTTTAAATATTTTTTGAATACTTTCGGAAAATCAGATTATAATTTAAATTTGATCTCACTAATGTTATAAATGCGAATGTTTAGATGGATAGATGACAGTTTGTTAGAGTTTGTAGACTAAATGGCTGAACAGGTCCCGAAAAGTTTGGCACAGACATATAGGATAGGTATTGGGGAAAGCCTATGTCCTGCAGTGGGCAGGTGAAGGCTGTTGATGATGATGATGATAGTTTACTCACTTTCTTTTTAAATTCCATTTCCACAAAGTCATGGACGAAAGCTAGTGATTTAAATACATTTAAAACCTTCAAATGGTTGTCTTGTAAGGATGTGTTGTGGTGCAGGTGCAGGTGACAGTGGACCAGCTGTGGTCGGACGACATCGAGGTGACGTCCATCGGGCCCGGCGAGAACGTCAAGGTGAAGCTGAAAGGCATCGAGGAGGAGGACGTTTCCCCGGGCTTCGTGCTCTGCGACACTGCCGACCCCATCACCACCGGCAGGGTCAGTTGTTACCCCTTACTATCTCACCTGTAGTTATGTAGTTCGACAATGTATGATTAAACATGTTTTTTAACTGTGACCTTCGCTAATTCATATTAGGCTATATATTTGAACGCGATAGTAGAAACTTAGAGTACTTGAGCTAATAAGGAAAACGTGTTAATATGGCTATATTTATCTCATATTAATAATTCAATGTTACTCATATTAGTAGTATGATTGGTGTTACTAAATATGCTAAACTCGAAAATCTAATATAAGGACATGTCCATAAATTGGCCTAAATAGTTACTATGTACTAGCAGAATGTGATGTCATAACCTTGGACTGTCGGGATATTTAAAAAAAGTAATATTATATTATATGATTTATAACATGGCTAAAACTGACGTGGGAACTTTCGGCGTGGATACCGATCAGTTTCAAATCCGTAGGGGGTTCTTCTTCAGGGTGAGTGGATGCTGTTGCTGTTCCTAACCGAACCGAAAGTTCCCACGTGAATTTTAGCTGTGTTATAAATCATATAGTATCATGTCTCACGAAGAAGCAAAAGGTTAGCGTGGTATGGACATGTTATGTTACGAAATGATGGGGACATAAACCAGAAAGTGTTAAGATTGAATGTGGATGGCTACAAAGGAAGAGGAAGACCGAAGAAAGTATGGATGGATTGTGTGAAAGAGGATATGTTTAAGAAAGGAGTGGATTCAGATATGACGGCTGATAGAGATGTATGGAAGAGTAGCACATACTGTGCCGACCCTCCATAAGGGATAAGGGCAAGTGGATGATGATCATGTCTCACGAAAGTTTTAATAGGTTAATAATATTATAATACTTGATATGTATGTGTTGCAGGTGTTCGACGCGCAGGTAGTGATCCTGGAGCACAAGTCCATTATCTGTGCGGGATACTCCGCCGTCATGCACATACATTGTGCAGCTGAGGAAGTTACTGTTAAGGTTAATATTTATCATATTGAAATTTAAGTGACTGATTTATTACAAGTAAATTTAAATAAGTAGTAAAATAAATGACACTTGTTGAGCGAGCTATTCACTTTTAGAGACCATTAAATGCAGCAAACATATAAAATACTAGCATTTGCTCGCCATTTTGCCCGCGTCAAATAAAAAAATATAGCCTATGTTACTGATAACATAGCTTTTTAATGGTGAAATATTTTTTTTAATCGACAGAGTAGTTTTTGAGATGTTTCAATACATAGAAAAATACAAATCTTTACTCTTTATAATATTAGTATAGATGTCAGAAAAATGCAGCGAATTAACATGCTATATTTAATTGATTAACCAATAACGATATTGCAACCGTTTTTGTGCAGGCCCTAATCTGTTTGGTAGACAAGAAGACCGGCGAGAAGTCGAAGACGCGGCCGCGCTTCGTGAAGCAGGACCAGGTCGCCATCATGAGGATAGAGTGCGCTGGCGTCATCTGCCTCGAGCCCTTCAAGAAGTTCGCTCAGATGGGCAGGTTCACCTTAAGAGACGAAAGTAAGTAACAACTGCTCTGTCATAAACATGAAAATCATTTTATATAGCATTTTAGCCAAGTTGTAATTTTTTTTAATACTATTGTAGTTATCATAATCTTGGCGGCTTTTAATTTTTTGCGAGTCGCTGCGCAGAACAAAATTTTAAGTAATTTTAGGTGGGATGTAGAGAGAGAGCAATGCCTAACGCAGTACCTATTTGTAACAAAATATGAGCGACCTTTATTTGGTCTCGTCACTTTAGTTATGAACAATTATTTTTTTTTTTCAGATAAAACGATCGCAATTGGAAAAGTGTTGAAAGTGATTGAGTAAGTTTGGCTCTACGATTGTAATTTAGCTAGGATAGGCCTTTCCAAAACCTATATCATGAGAGAGTGGATGTAATATGTAATCCTGAGTATTGGGATGTGAGAGCTGACTGCTTGTACCCCGAGAGCGGCGCACTGCCGCCGCCGCCGCAGCCGCAGCCGCAGACAGTATGCTATGTTATTTTAATGGTGGTAAAAACATATTTATACAAGTGTTATTTATATAATGTTATCACAAATGCATATACACAGCGACGTCTCTCACATTATTTGCATCAGCTTACAAACTGAGCCGTGATTCTCTAACGACCCCTACGTATGTAATCTTTATTTGCTTCAACTTTGTATATGTCGATTATATGTTTGTTAAATATAATGCATCCTATCCTGCTTGTAGACAGCGTGTGTTAAATTTACTTAGTTTACTTGCATTTTACACAATTTAAGAACAAAGAAAATCTGTTAATTGTTTCGGATTTTTGTTTTAATTATCTTACGCTCACCTTTTACCGTATCGTTTTTTTATTATGTACGCTCGCAGCACGACAGAAGAAACACATCACTTACAGTGGGGAATAGTTTTCTGCTTAATTTGGTAGTTACAACCATTTACGTAAAGTTTTATTATAATAGAGAATTTTTTAAAATTAGTAGTCTTAGTTACTCCAAATAGACTGTACATTGGTCCAGTATTTTACTAGATTACTCCGGGAACAAAGGCGAGTTTGTAAAAACAGAGAATGTATAGTTCGCTAGAGATTATTTATTCCCATATAACATAGACACTCCAATTTTATTATATTTTTTCAATCCATGTTAATAAAGATAAGTTGTATTATGAGTGATTGCATTGTGAAGGCGACAAGTAACGACAGCCCTACATGACATCTAAATCTAATCTATCGTGAAATTAGTTGCACCATTGAATGAAGTAATGCAGTTTCTGTTGTCGTGTTGCGAAGCATGCCTTAAAGTAAAACAAGAAGCGAGTCTGTATGAAAATACTATTCGTAATATGTCATCTTAGTGTCATACTATTTGGATAATAAAACTGTTTTATTTATGGCCCATAAACTTATTTTTTTAATAACAAAATGTATCACAGTCTAAAATGTTTATTGGTTGCGATACTCTAAAACGACACGAACTGGGTGCATTTATGAATAAATTATTTGTAGTTTCATATTGATCTCTTCTTATTTATAACTAACATGTGGGTATTAGATGTGTCTTCGTAATCGAAGTAGTTTCCTTTTGTGAAGGCGAGAATTGCTGTTTATTTGGAAGGGTAGTCAGATAACGCCAAGTACTGCAAGTACTAGCACGTAAGCTCTACAGATGCAGTTAATAATGTAATATTAAATTTTGGTGTGCACTCAAGAGTCCTATTTTTATAACATTTTCCTCGATAATTGATGTTCGTCTAGAAAGTATATATAAAAACGTAGGTTAAAAATATCATTTTAGCAGAACACGTTTGGACGGCAGGTTCTTCCAAAAGTTTGGAGCTCTTAATTTTAAAAGCGTTTTGTGATTGTTTGATGTATGAGCTCTCGTGTAGTCGCTGCTAGGATGGTCAACCGCTTGCGTATTTTGCTTACTGATATGAATGAATAGCAATAAAAGTTGATTCTAATACTCGACTAAGACATATTTAACATTTGTTTATAGTAACAAATATTTTAGTTGTAACTTGATCATCCTAACAGATGTAGTTAACAACATGTTTCACTCGATACGAAATAAGTAATGATTATAGTGTTGTCTATTTTAAAAACAAGAATTATGTTTGAAGTGATTTACTATGCGGTATACATGTTAATATAGAATTGAAATGTGTTTCAAGTGGAAGCAATTTTATATTTATGAAACGGAAAAATCGATTCATGTATATTCATAATGTTAATTACTTGCAATATTTTAATATACACATAATTTTTTAATAGAAGATATCGCTTTGAAAACAAAATACAATAGGCGGAGCTGGACTGTGAGATCACAAGCCGCGGTATGAAAGCTGTTGGCTTTTGTCTTGTTGAAATTTTAACTTTATCACGTTTAAGAATTGGTCCATCAGATTTGTAAGTAGCTTTCGGAATAGGAAGACTCGGTTTCTTCGCCATGCCTTAATGTTAGACACAGAGTACTTACGGCGAGCCATGTGATACACGTTCAACATTGTCACTCCCGCTGTTAGGGGGTCAATCTCCGAATTGTTATAAATTGTATATTGTGGGTTTTTAAATTTCCAGCTTTTTTTAATATAATCGGTTTTACATATACAGTGGCGGATTGAATTATATTATTAACGATATTTTATGTATATCAGTGGATGAAATGTGAGGCGTACGCGGCACCCCATCTGGTTTGATCCGTGCTATATTTTATTTGTCGACACGCTTGCTCGTAGGGGAGAGTAGGGCGCCTTAGTGCCTTCCGTTGCCGCCGGGCGGCGCGCCGCGTGCGCCTCGCGCCACAAGCGCACCCCGCGCCCCTCGCGCCACAAGCGAGCCACCGAGCGACCACTGGCAGCCTGCGACTATATTATTTTGTTTAAAATAAAATTTTATTAACTGCACCAACGATATTTTTATTTGCTTTCATCCACCTCAAAACCCGAAATTACAACATATTTCACGCCTGTAATCCATAAGAGGATAACTCTGAAATTATAGTTACTGCTTCAAAGTTAAGACACAAATTTATTAACTGCATTGCTGAAAAAGAATGGAATAGTTGTAACAGGATAATTTTAGTATATTTGAAAAAACTCTTATCAATTCTCTATTTTAAAAATATATCCGCCATTTATGTAATATAGGTAGCATTAATAACTAGATCTGTCTTGATTAGATGACATTTTGTAAATAAGTTATATGAAGAATATGCAGAAAACATTAATATTTCAAATATATACATATTGTTTCCTACGAGAATATAATGAATACTTTACAAAACACATCTTACTAATATTATAAATGCGAAAGTTTAGATGGATGGATGGATAGATGGATGGATGGATAGATGGATGGATGGATAGATGGATGGATGGATAGATGGATGGATAGATGGATGGATGGATGGATGTTAGCGTTTGTAGCCTAAAAGGCTGAACGGATATCTATGAAATTTGGCACAGGTTTAGAGCATAGTCTGGAAGAACACATAGGCTACTTTTTATCCCGGGAATCGTTACGGTTCCCGTGGGATTGATCATTCTGCAACGGTTCAACATATTTTATTGAAATTTGGCACAGATATAAAACAAAGTCTGGAGTACATATGGGATAAGCTTCATCCCTGAGAAATGTCCGGTTCCCGAGGTATACGTAACTTTTGGTAATTTATATAGTTTGTATGTTTTCTAATACTACGCGGACGAAGTCGCGGGCAACAGTTCGTTTTTTACTAAAACGATGGCAGGTTCAGAAATTAACAAAATACTTTTCAAGTGTAAGTTTTTAATAAAATCATTCTCATTAATTTATTTGTAATGTTTAGCAGGCATTTTGGATGGTGCAAGTTGAGGCTTTAGGAAGTTAAAGTTAAAGAATAAAGTGGATTGTGTAAGAATTATTTAGATTACTCCGTGTACATAAGCAATTTGTAGAACAGAACAAAAATATACAGATTTGGCTTATTCCATCACTGGAATGTCATCAATAAATTCATAAGACTAAATACTTATGTAGGCATAATATAGTTATACAAATCATTAGTTACAAAATATAAAGTAATATATACACAATGACATCTCCCGCATTTCAACACTCCCACCATAACTAATGTTTGAGTCAAACATTACTTAGCAGTAATGAACCTCCTTCATGGAGCTGATTTACATTCATTACCAGATTATCAGTCTCAATATCCATTTATTAAGTACCTACGGTAGCTAAAATTTGGCAAACATTGGTTTTTAATCCTCTATTTTCATGTCACTTTTGGTTACATTTTGATTCATTTGATCATTTTCATACTCCACAAAGTCATCAAATAAACTTGGCCATGCCTCATTATCATCGTAACTACTGAGGTCATCACCAATGTACTCACAAAAGTTCAAGAACATATACCAGGTGTCTTTAGGAATGCCTCTGATGTGTGGGTTTTTTTCAAGATACTTCAACCATTTGTCAAGTATTGGTGGTTCATTGTTTGTGAAAACCAGTCTCCATAGTAAGATAGCAATGTCTGCTGGCAATATGCGTTGTCCTATGCTAACATCTAAACCAAATTTGAAAGTGAATCTGTATAGGTCTTTGAAATTCTCAGAATCTCTCGTCAAATCTGCTGTTATTTCATTTAACTTACTCTGTACACCTTTGATTGAATCCGTTTTCAGGTTTTTCAGGCCTTGAACAAATTCTTGCCTTGTAAATCTACACATTTGACTAGCATTTAACTTCCAAGCGAGCACTAATACTTTGAAATCATCCGGATTCAACTGCAAATCGTTGCAAAGATTTTCAATTCCTTCAGCTAATATTGCATCTTCCAAAGAATCCTTGTACAAATCAAACAAATTATTAATTTTATTTTCAGATATTCTAGATTCATTAGAACTGATAGAAGACATAGTTCGGGGTAAAGATGGCAACTTTTGATAAAATGGCTTTAGAATCTTATCTGAATTTGTGTGTGATTTTTGTATAATTGTCAATTCTCCTGTGCTGTGTTCATTATATGAATTTACAGTATTTGCATTCTGCATATTTCTATAAGAATTGATGTTATTTTGATTGTTGTGAAGCAATGGTTCCTCCTGCGGGTAGTCAGACACCATGACGGTGGGCACCTGATTTGTCGTGACAATCTCCCTCAGCTCTGGAATTCATTCAAGAAACTATTTATCTAATCATTAGAACATGGAAGATAACAATAATAATATTATATTGTGTAATAAATTTACAGTGTATCAAAGCTTTGGTATTATATGTTATAATTTTGTTGGTATAATTTAATAATCTCAATGTAATCATAAAATAACATATTTATTGTAGGGTACTCACTAATTGCATAATACACATAGTAAAATATACAATTTACCTTAATGTAAATTTGCAGAATGTAGTTGGAAACAGAAAAATTGAAAAATAGGTTTCTTAACATAACAATTTAAGATGCATAGATTAATTGTAGAGTTTAACAGGGAATAACAACTCTATACAACCAATTGGCAGAGTAGTAGTGTTTCAAACTCACCATCTTTCTTTCTTTGAGTTGTAACTATATCAGCGTTGGCTTGGTCTTTGAAACAACTTAGACAATGGCCCATTTGACAAAATGTGATGTACGTTCCACCAACACATAAACCCTTTATTCACTACACATGTACAATTTAATTTGTACACTTTTCCAGAAATGCTATGAAACATAGTGATCAAAAAATTATTTTCAAAAATGTTATTTGTAATGTATTTGCAATCTGTAAATAAAGAATTTCCGATATACATAATGTATTATTTAAGCACAATTTAGTTTACAATCATAAATTAGTTATTAAAAAAGGATTTATTTGATAAAGATGTTGAATTTTAAAATGTTACGTACCATTATTGCTTCCGTGTATTAAGAAAGGTCACGTATACGTTATATATTTTTGTTTCAAAAAGTTCTTTCTTAGCATAATAAATACAATAAAGATATATTAAGGAATATATTAATTTCTTTCTAAATTCGAGTACAATAATTTCCAAAATATTTTTTCCTGAGACGAATATTTAGCCATAGACAAAGACACAGATCACAGATTATCAAGCTGGACAAAGAGAACATAGAGAGACCATAGGTTATACTTCGCAACACAGATAAAACCAAGGAGCAAGCTAAAATATTTGTTATAATTTGTCTAAATATGATAGATTAGTTTGATAAATGACTCATATGAACTATCAAATTCAATTTGTATGAAGGTAAATACTGTACTTAATAGACAGGTATCGTAGTGACGCACAAACACGCATAGCGAACTATCGATATTCGTTTTAAATAAGTTTCAAACTCAACTAAAATTATTATTTTCTCATTCACTAATTTAGAGGACAATTCTAGTATTGATTATAGTGTAGAGAATTTAGCGATGACAGAAACAATAGCGAAATCCAATTTGATTACGTACGGCTGTAGTAGTAATAAACATTTATTTACTCTCATTATTTGTGGTCATTATTCATTTGAGAAAACAGTGTTTTTTTATTTATTTCATAAGTTATAACTATAAATCTATCGATTCCAACTTCTATAAGAATAAAAATCGATAAGATTCATGACTGATTTTACATAACACCCCTTCTAAATTTATGTTTGTGTAACTGGTAGCTGGACCCAGTGAGCGTTCACACTGTGCCAGCTAACGGACGGTCCAGTTATTCCAGGTCAAGCCACCTCCACTGATAGACTGTACTGGCTAAATGAGCACCGGGCATTGTATTACTCTCACTTGCTCCACAGAGTACTTTGTAACATACTGACTTGCTCTTACTCTTTGATATTATCTATGGCGTACATCAATGGCGCTTGGCTGTCGTTGAAACGCTAATTGCCTTTATTTTACATTTTATTTAGTTGTTTGTTCCATCTCTTAATAATTATTTTGCCGGTATTAATAGTATTCGGTATAATAATTAACTTATTGTCATTTTACTTGTTATTCATGATTATTTTAGCGTTAGGACTACTGCAATATCAATTGTAACAAACCTGCATGCAAATCTAATTTGATCAAAATTGTTTTTCTTTATGAAGAAAAGGCTAGATATGTGAACATATGTTGTCATGTTACATGAAATTGAATTTTCTTCTTGCTTGTGGAAATGTCTGTACATTACAAATTTAAAAGTGCATTGGATTATGACACAGTTACTTTTGATGGGCTGCATATTTCTGTAGGAGATTTAAAAGCTGCCATATCGCAGCAGAAAAGGATTGGAAAGACTTCAGATTTTGATCTCCAGATCACTAACGCACAGACAAAAGAAGGTTAGTTTTCAAAATCAGACTATATATCTAAATAATCGTCTTTCATGTGATGGTTAATGGTTTGATTTTCTAGGTTATCATACATGATTGTATCCAATATTTTTGAAGTAACTTCGTTAATTATTTAATTTTAATTTATAGTTTATGTGGATGATCAGACTTTAATTCCAAAGAACACTTCACTTCTTGTGGCAAGAGTTCCACTTGCTCAGCAACCTAAGAAACAGTGGGAAGGATCTAATGCAAATTCATCGTCATTGCACAAAGATGTTGCTGTTAACAAGGGATTGGCTGATCTGTCTCGCATGGAAGGTAGCGAACAGGATAAAATAAATGCTATGATATCACAATCCACTTTTGACTACGACCCTAGCAAGTAAGACTTATCTATAATATCAAATAAGTATTTTTTACAAGTTACCAAAGTAAATGTACAAAAAAATTAAGATCATCAATATTTATTTCATTATTGTGTATTAAATTACCTTTAAGCAAGCCCTAAAGACCCAAAAAAGGTACGGAGAATTCCTTGAATTTTTTGATGTGACTACGAATTTCTCTTGTTGGATAGTGAGATTAACCTTTTTTTATTGTTGAGTTTTTATTAAACAGTTTTATTCATTTTTGTACCTCACATCCTTTCTAAAGCTAATTATCTGTAACCACATTTTAAAAAGCATATATAATATAGATATAGAAATTGATAAATTTCTCATAACATTTTAGCTATCAGAAAATAAGAGGACAAAATCAGAGAGGAGCTGTTCCAAGTAACTATATTTGTTACAAGTGTCAGAAGAAAGGTCACTGGATCAAAGACTGCCCTGCGGCAAATTCTGTAAGATTAAAATTTTTAATAACAATTACTTGCATTTTAAATAGTAAAAAGTGAATGAGACATGAAATTGTTTTATAGGGTGAAGCTATAGAAATCAGAAGGAGTACAGGTATTCCTAGAAGTTTTATGGTACCAGTAGATGGTCCAAAAGCACCAGGAGCCATGATGACACCAAGTGGTACATTTGCAGTCCCCGCAGTTGATCAGTAAGTAAACAATTGAATGATGAAATAAGTATCGTATTTAGAAAACAAACACTACATAAAAATACTTTTAATTTTAGTAATAAAATAGGTTCATGTACAGCATGTATTATATGTTTTCAAGTCTTTGCTACAATTGTGAATTTTACAGTTTTTAGAAGTACAATTATTTAATTAAAAATGATTCTTAACTTCAAAATATTATTTAGTGATGATAAAACTTATACATAGTAATGTTTATTGTAAATTACATAATTTAATATCAAATGATTTATCTTAAGTAAAGGTGTTTGTTCTTGTTGATAGTATAATCTATTTTATTATATTTATAGTGAGGCATATCTTGCCTCGGAGAATGCTGGTGGTGCTGACACTCCGACCAACGCACCAGCGGCCCCGGAGCCTTCTGTCCCTGATGAATTGATCTGCAGCCTCTGTCGTGACCTGCTCATTGATGCGGTGATGATACCATGCTGCGGAAACTCGTTTTGTGATGAATGTAAGCATTTTTTTTAGTTTTTTGTATGAATAAAATACAATCACTATGTTTTATTTAACTTAATTGCAGTTATAATTTTACTTTAAATAGTTATATAGGTTTATTACAAACAGTATGCTATAGAATTATTTTTAATTGGTTGCAGGTATAAGAGGTGCTTTATTGGAATCTGAAGATCATGAGTGTCCTGATTGTAGGGAAAAAGAGATTGCACCAACAACGCTTATCCCAAACAGGTGCATAATTTAAAGATAAATCCTGTTTACGAAAATTTAAAAAAAAAACTTTTTTATTTTTGATAAGCAATTAATATTTTTTATATGAGTGAATATTTATTTTAATAGTTTTATTTTCGTTTCAGATTTTTAAGGAATTCTGTATCAGCGTTTCGTAACCAAACAGGCTACAACCGAAGAGCGCCGCATCGGCCGTCGGCAGCGCCCCCGCCCGCGCCCGCCGCGCCCCCGCCCGCGCTCGCCCCGCCCCCCGCTATGGGTTTGTACCTTTCGTTTTGCTTATTTACTAAATTATTTATATGTTACGTGTCAAAGTTGTTTAACTTAATTTTTGTGTGTATAGAACATCCTCAAACTTTTTGGTTCACAATTTATCTTTATTAACACCTATTCTAGAAGAAACGCTGAATAAGACATATTTGTATTTTATACAATTTTTAAGGGAACTTGACAATGTTTGGGTATCGTTGAATACATTTTCAACAAGTTTTATTTAATTCTATCGTAATTTCTTTTAAAATGTTGGATTATTAGATTAAAAAGATAATTTAATGAGTCACTAACAATTTAAGAGTTTTATTTTAGATTGTATAGATCTAGTGATAAGTACCAGTAAAGTCTTTTAATACTATTTTGTGATAATATATATCTAGATAAAGATATTAAATTCGTGTTATATCTTTGTATGTGATTCTTTAAAGTAATAAAGTTATGTTTAAAATCTTGCTCACTCTGAGATAATTTATCAGTATGTAAAACAGTGAGGAAATTATCGATTACAAAACTTTCATAATTCTTTAAGTAATTATTATCATAATTTTATAAATTAACACATACAAGTATTTCGTAAATCGAGACAATGTTTAACCTTTGTTAATACAGATGTCTAGTATAAATAAATAATGATATAATAGTAAAAATAATATTAATAATAAAAAACGTTTATTAATGTTTAATTGACATGTCAAAAATACTCTACAGAAAGAGTTAAAATATCGAAATTTTAGAAAGAAAGGTCTGAATTACAAGATAATTGAAGTCTGTATTGTTAGTTTTTTTCGGTTTCTTTATTTTTTTACGTTCTTTAGTATAAGTAGATGAATAGTGTGAACGTTTGTGCCGCAGATGTGGCGGGCGCGGCGCCCCCGGCCGGCGCGCCGCCGCGCGACCTGCCCGCGCTCGCTGGTAAATGTTCACCATCTCCACACTATTCATACATTAACATACAGACGGTGTCGGTAGTGGGCTCGGTGCATGTTGACTATTACGTTTATTATGATTTATTACAATTTTACTTAAATGAATGTAAACGTTTAGTAAGCTTTATTTTCGTACTTAGTTGAATGCATGTAATTTTTAAGTTTATTTGCTGTTATTTTTCAATAATAACAAAGTTTTTGTCTTTATTGTATTGTTTAAAAATAGAGCCATTTTTTTTTTGATGGCTTTATGATGTAAAGTTACTTTGGAGTAACTTTGTAGTATTGGATTTAGAAATCCGATTTTTTGTAATGTTTGGAAATTTTTTGTACTGCTTATATTATTAGATTTTTAATATACGTTTAAAGTTAACTGTCAATTATTTCAAACCATTTGTAACTTAACTCTATTATAATAAAAAAAAAAAACATTTTTGTATCACATAACTTAGCAGAAATTTGAAATGTACGCTGTAATGTTTAAAAAATAATATTTGAGAATGTCAGATCGTTGTTCAGTTATCGTGTTGTAAGCTGGTGACGTTTGGCATAGATGGTGTCGTGGGCGGTGGGCGTGGCGCGGGCGCGGACGCCAATGGGGAGCGCGGCCGGGCGGGGGGCGGCCGCAAGCCCGCCGGGGGGCGCGACGGGCGCGGCGAGCGCGGGGGAGGGGACGTGTCGGAGTCGGAGGGCTCGGGGGACGACAACATCGTGGTGATGGTGCCGCCAGCGCACCACGCCCACGCGTACCCGCATCCCCACCCCCACCCCCAGCACCAGCATCCACACCCCCACGGCCACGCGCACCCCCATGGGCATCCGCACGCTCATACCCACGCCCGTCGACACAACATGCACCGACCGACTAGATTAGGTACACCCACATAGCGACCAATTCACGTATATATTCGATAAAACTAAAATATTTATAAGTCTGTATTATAGCAACATAAGTGTGTGATTAATGTTCGATATTCTTCATAAGTTACGTATGCTTATGAGTAGCGTAGCTTTAATAAATCAGGCGATAGGTTGGCGCGTGGTGTCAAACACTTGCACTGTACTATTATGCTACGAAGACAAAGCCGTGCGCCTAAATGAAATAACGTTTTTGAAGTTGGATAAAGAAGAAAATCAAACAACTATTGTAAATCTTGTTTTGTTGTGAACATTTTATATAAATGTGTTTTAAACTAGAAGAATATCTTGTATGATTGTACTAATACTCAATTATAATTTTATTACGATTTAGCCTATGAATTGTTTGAAAAAATGTTGATAAAAGTGTTAATAATATTTATTTTCTGACTTCAATTCATATATTAAATATTTCTGATAATGGTTTATGAATTTATGTTAATTTTAATTTGATATTTATAAAAAAAGAAGATATTACATAAGTCCTGATATACAACAATAATTGCCGATTAATTTTGTGAACTTGTTATATATCCGTTTTTATTATATAAGCCTGATAGATGACAATTTATGCTAGTTATTATTGTTGTTATAGTAGTTCAAATATGTAAAAAATATCTCAAAATAATTTATTTGTTTCAGGACATCAGCCTGGGATGAAGCCACCTGGGATTGATGGACCTCCAATTAATGTAAGTTTTATGCAATATTTAACAACTTTATAGTAGCGGTTAAATATTTTATTTACAAATAAGTAGTGATGTGTCGAAATCTTGAATATTGGCATTGTTTAATAAGGGGCTTTGCATTCGACGAGTATAAACCGCTTCCCAATGCTCATGAGGTAGTTTGTAAGTTTACTAATTTAATTTTTTAACAGATGCCTCGTCTTGAAGAGCAAAGAGCAAGCACGCCTACTATTGACGAGAGAAGAGATCCGATGTCGTCGCAGGTGGGCTTTATATTAATTTGTCTTTTAGGAACAATGACGTAGCTATTTCATTTGACATGACATATTGTTCGAGTAACATTAATAAAAGAAACGCATGTTATAATTCTCAGGTCGTGTTCAACCGGGGACAAGCGCCGCCATTTGTACCAGGCTTGCTGCCGCCGGCACAACGGTATCCCAAGTATGTAGTTTTTGAATTATTATTTTTAATAAAGTCTAATACGAATATGTACTAGCTTTTGTAAATACGTTGTTGTCTTTGAATTCCTAAATAATTTTATCAGACTAGCTGTTGCTCGCAACTTCGCCCGCGTGAAAAAATAATAAAAAATGTAGCCTATTTACTCACTGATAACATAGCTTTTAATAGTGAAAGAATTTCTGAAATCTACCAAGTAGTTTTCGAGTTATTTCAATACATATAAAAATACATATCTTTCCTCTTTATAATTATTTGTATAGTTGTTTTTTAAATTTAATATTGTTTTGATTTTCAGCCAACCGTACGGACGGCAAGGTCCGCCGGGGCCGCTGTACGGCGACCGCTACCGACACCGCTTGGAGCCCTACCAGCCGCCGCCGCCCGGCATTAAGGATTCCCCCACTAACGGGTAACATTTATGCACTTTCTTGCTCTTTCACACATGTGTTTTAGACTTGTAGTTGTATATTACGACATTTATAAACAAGTTATAATCATAACTCACAGAGGTATTATTCTAGTTGATTATGTATTGAGTTTGGTGATAATAGTCAGAATTAGTATAACTTTAATTATGTACAAATATTGGTGTGGTTAGATGATTAATAGATCAGTTTTTATCGATTGGACGATCAGTCGTCGAGAGAGAGAGAGAGAGAGAGAGAGAGAGATAACGTTGATGAAAATATCAACCTCAATACCGTAAATAACTTGTGACAGTTGTTGCAAGTCTCAATTTTTTATAGTATGTACTTAAATTAGTTTGTAGACTTGTCGATGTATTGTATATTAATTTTTGCAAGAATTATATTAAATTTGAGGTGTGTTGTGTTTAGTCATAGTTGAGTGGTATACATTTTGTACGTAGGGCCGGAGAGGACCCGCTCGAGGCGTTCAACCGGATGATACGTGAGAAGGAGATGCGCGCGAAGCGGCGGGAGGAGGAGCGGCGGCGCGCGCACTCCGGCTCGCGCTCCCCGACGCGCTCCCGCACGCCGCGCTCACCGCGCTCCCCGCGCTCGCCGCGCTCCCCGCGCTCCCCGCGCTCCCAGCGCTCCCCGCGCTCACCTCGAGCGCGTCCTCGCAGTCGCGCATCTAGCAGAATTCGATATACTAGGTTAGTCGTATTATATATTTATGACTTAGTTAGTAGTGTATCTATATACCTTTGAGTAGTTCGTATCTGTGATATTTGTGATCATTAGATGTTTTTAACCTGTCAGTATATAGGCTTTTGTATAAGTATCAAATTATGACACAGTGTAGATTAGAATGTGTCTTATTTATATAAAATGTTATCGTTGTGATAGTTCATTATGACTAAATCAAAAACAATTTTAAGAAGAATGCGATAAAACTAAGTGTTATAAACCCTAATGTCAAAACTTATTTAAACTTTTCTTAATATTTGTAACACAGTTTTGTAAAGAGATGGTGTTTTGTATTTCAGATCGCGATCGGCTTCTCGCGGCCGCGTGCGCCGCTCACCCTGGTCGCCGCGGCGCAGGCGCACCAGAGACAGATCACTCTCACTCACACGGTAACACTGCCACATACATTTATATCACAAATTTATGTATGCTCGTAATATATGGACTTAAAGAAATGCTGTTTAAATCTTTTGTCTAATCTCTCACATAATATGCCTAAACGTGATGTTAACGTGAAATATAATTTTCAAATCCACGACTTTAACTGCTTTTTCCTCGCGCAGTTGGCCAAAAGCTAGTCTGATATAAAGTAAACTTACATTGCATTTTTAGGTCGCCGTCGCCTCGTCGCCGGCACCGTACCCCGCTGCGGTACCGCTCGCCGCTGCGGTCTCCGGGGCCGCGGTCTCCGCTCCGGTCGCCGCTCCGCTCCCCGCTGCGGTCTCCGCTCCGCTCTCCGCTGCGTTCTCTGCCGCACTCGCCGCACCGCCCGCCGCCGCTCATGAGGTCGCCGCAGCCCAGACCGATGTCGCCACATAGGTGAGACATTTTTTTTTTTCTAAAACCTATGTGTATCGCATTACATTATAAATCGAATCATTCCTAAAAGAAATAAAATTAAGGACCGAACTGAAACAAATTTAAATTTTTCGCCTCGAACGAGACGGTAAGATTTTAATGGAATTTAAAATTTAGGCGTGGCTCTATTACATAAAACGCAGTTGCATTTTTAAATGTCGTTTCAGTATTCTGTCGCAAAAGTTTCAATCTGTAAATATGATTGTTGTAGACTAACGTGCTCTGAACTCACTTGTATCTCCCATTTAAAAAAAACCTTTTGTCCTCAGATACGCCGGAGTGTATGATGAATTGTTATCGCCCCCGCGTCGTAGTGTTGAGCCGCCATACGGAGCCAGGTACGATTGTAACAGTTTAACTAGTGTCTGCGTCGCGCGCCCGCGCACCATACCCGCCGCCTTATCCGCCGTCTTACTCGCCGCCTAGCGCCGTCTAGCGCCATCTAGCGCACGCACTTATTGCCGAGCGGATCGAACCTCAGTTTGCGTGTCCAGTGTCCCTATGTACGGACGGTTTTATCATACATTTGTATATATTATGAACTTATGTAACGTTGATGTACACATGTGATTGTATTGAAAAGTAATCGTTGCTGTCGACGGTAAGTACGTCACGTGGCCGCCATTGAATTTTGTACGTGATGCAGCCAACAACTATAGCAGCCGGAGTCTTCTGATGTCAACATTATTAAGTTCACGTTTATATTGTGTAGTTAATGATTGGTATTTGTAAATTTTAATTACGTCACTGAAATGTAAAATCTGTCTGTGATAAAAAATGTGATATTTTCTAACTTTTAACTTTAATGAATTTCTGTATGTTAAACTTTTCGAAGATGTATGTGTATGTATTAAATGTGAATTATATATACATTTATGCATTGGAATGTTTATTTAACGCTTTATGAAACACATGCTGTAGTATTTGGGAATCAGATAAATGAAACTTCATTGTGCGAGTGCGTAATGACAACTGTTTATTTACATCTACCGACATAGATATTATTCAATATGCCACATGCCCTTTCTTTTCATAAAGGAACAATATAAAAGAACATTATAATTTAAATAACGATTTAAAACTTACAATTAATAATCAAAGTAACTGTGAACTGTAACCTTCTAATAAATGAAATCTCAAATCTAAATAAACCATTTTGATAAGTTTCGAAGAAAATATGTCTCTCAAAATTGACATTTTTTTTGTGGATCACATCTATTTTCGAACTTCACACACAACTGCTCGTATTTAATATCTTGAGTAATATCTAGCTCATTGTACAGCTCGCGGCCGACCTTCCCGATGACATGTAGAAATAATGCAACCTTTTCTCGGTCGCTCGCCTTTTCTCGCCCCGATGCTATCAAATACCAATCAAAAGTATTTTTCCAATCACGCCAATTGTTACAAATGTTTCCTATTTCTTGCATCGGCGGTGGTTGCTGTATGGCGGCGACACCGCTCGTCGCCGGCGTCGATGAGTTGTCGCTATTTTTTATTCCGTCCGGCATTGTTTTCTTCCAAATGTTTTATTACCTTTTGTAATTTCACGCACACTTATCACTTTTAAAACTTTAAAACTTCAGAAACACGCATAAAACCACACCTGACACCATGTAGTATTTGGGAATCAGATAAATGAAACTTCATTGTGCGAGTGCGTAATGACAACTGTTTATTTACATCTACCGACATAGATATTATTCAATATGCCACACATGCTTTAATGTAACTACCAATTGCATTTTATTTGTTTTAATACCAAAAAATGTAAAGCGAAGCAAGTGGTTACCTGATTTAGCTAGATAAGGAAGTGATTGCTATCCATAGACATTTGTTACAAGTTAAATGATTGCAAAAACCTTCATTATCCCCTCCCCCGCTAAATTCCTTCTCCTTTCTATGTTTTCCTTTCGCTCATAGATTCCCCTCCCATTTTCCTAAAGATTCCTCTGCACTTGCTTCATTAACGTAAAACTTAATATAAAAATATTTGCTTTTTTATCTATACTAATGTTATAAAGAGGAAAGATTTGTATTTTTGTATGTATTAAAATAACTCAAAAACTAATGAACCGATTTCAAAAATTCTTTTACCGTTATAAGTTTACGTTAGCGCTGATTATTGTAGGCTATGTTTTATACTATTTTATAATTTCATATAGACGAAGTCGCGAGCAAAAGCTAGTATCTTATAAGGAGACAATTATAGTCGTTTGCAAAAATGGCCTTATTCCGCTAATGTGCTCTGTATCTTCAAGTGGTTGTCGAGTAAAATAGCGTTTCTAGATATTGAACGGGTCCAACTCCTGCGGGTACGCCAGGTTACAAACTGTATGTTTCGCCCTGATTCCTCTTTTGTCGATATCTACTTGCGACATGGAACTATCCCAAGTTATTTTGGGTAGGACTTATTTATTTTAATTTTGTACGATTATGGTCGGAAATGTGCATTTTCAAACATCTTTGGACCATTGCCATGTTGCTAATGGTCTGATCTATTCGTTGAGGATTTGGTTTTAACAATGAATTGTTAAACAAAATCAACCCTAATGAAGCAAAACCAAAAACTATCTTTGCTACTTCTCTTAAGAAAAATTCTCACGGACACTTTGTACCATTTATGTTTATACATACGTATTGAAATATCTGATGTAGAATGCATTACATACATAGATGTTTTATTATAATAAATGACTTGATGACTTTCGTCAGTATAGTCGTCGGTGTATATTTATTTCTACCTTATGTCCACGTGCTGGTTATTGTAACATTGTAACGTCATTTGCATGCTTATTATTGTTTAATCTTTTCATATTTATCTCATAATTCAGACGGATGGTAATCAGTTTGATAAATGTATATCATTAATAGTCGATAGAATATTATCAGTAACCTATTTATCTATGGATTATAGGTGATGAAGGTCATTTGAATAAATTCTTGATAGTAATAAGCTATGTCATTGTTCATTGCTGTCGCTTTCTTTGTTCGTTTGAAAAGTAGATTGATAAATGTAACATTGAAAAATCTATGTATTTTGAGATTCAAACATTGTGGCTGGTTAGGTGAGGATACATAGCAGGTTGGTGCTAGCTGCCTACTGTGGGAAAAGGAGCTCGCCTAAGATTGTATAAGTCTCAAACATCTCCACGGTTCAAGGTCCTTTGTGCGCTGAGTAATGTCCTACTCACATATTACTTTACACCCCGCTACTCCTAAATTTTTTTTCTGCGCGACGACTTGAATGATCCTCTATTCTACCAAGATATCTGACAATTACATATTTATGTACCGGCTTGTCTCTCCTATACCTACCATTTTGTTGCTCACAGCGTCACTGCTTACACCGAGCCGCCATAACGTTTCAATTGAAGTGTAATAATTTTTTCATGTTGTAAAATATTTTTTAAAATGTCAGTAACGGCAAAAGTAACCTGATAAAAATGTAATCGGTGAAATAAACATGAAAATAGTAGCTTATTGAGAAATGCCAGTTGAGAAAACAGCGACAAAGTAGAAAATTTGTTGTGTATGGGTGCGGTATCGCGGGACGTGGCAAATGGCAAATTGAAGCAAAGTATACTGTCTGTCATTGCCGAACGTATGTATGTATCGCGACACATATCATCGCTGTCTGCTGTAAAATCGCACCTTTAGAGCGGGCGCACACCTTTGACTAAACTATCGCACAACTGTTGTACGATTGTCGATTGTTTCGCAGCAAATTCAACTTGCACAACTAAAAATCAAGTTGTGTGCGCACTTCCATATAAGCTCACAGGAATAAAAGCGAGACTTTTGTGCGATAGTTTAGTCAAAGGTGTCAGCGAGTTCTAACACTCCTATTACACTAAGTGATTTCTATGTCAATAGAAATAAAACAAGATGATGTTGATATTTCCTTTTAGTTGACATAAAATTTTAGTATGTTTTAAAAGATGTGCTTTACTGACATTGAATTAAACAACATATTTTAATTTACTTGATTGTTCACAATTAGTGGTAATTTGAATTTGCCGCTATTTCTATATTTTTTTACCATTACTTGGATGTTCGAGTTTTTTCGCTGTCAAATCTTATGTAAAACTTAATGTTGTCTTCAGATTGTCTCGGTTACTACTTAACTAAGTAGGTATGGTCATTAGAAATGTTATGAATCACGTAAAATATACTGTTTTAATTGTTTTATTTCGGTGTCAGTCCTGCAGTTTTGTTGTTGGTCAAAGATGTAATTAATCAGTCATTGACGCTGTAAAATGTGATATTATGATAATAAAAAACTTTGTTATAATCTGGTCTTTTATTTCTTTATGATTATAGTTTTATCCATTACGAATTTTATAATGTCTTGTTTTTATGTTTTTGTATAATGTTATTTGTAAGGAAATGTATTTATAAGAAAGATCTCTAATAATGTTAAGAAATAAATCAACGTGTATAATATATTTTTGGCAATATTTGCAATATTTTTGTATAACGTTAAAATTTATTTTTGCATGCGTTTATGTGAAATGTTTTCAATCTGTGTTGTTGTTGCTTCTGTATATTTACATTTTAATATTAATTGTACTTGTAAAATATTGACTATGTCCTTTTTAACAACATTTCAATTATGTTTAAGACAGAAATGAAATTATGTGTCCTAATTGTTAAAGAAAATATCTGTATGCAATTTACTCATTTGTACATTGTTTTAATTTTCTTGTAAAACTATATTTTCAATTGTATTTTGATTGATATTTGGTAATGATATAAGTGTAATAAAAGTGAAATGAGATTTACATTGTCACTGTAACTGATTAGTGTCTTAAGTAAAATGTTATATCAAATGTGACCTTTTGATAACTGAAAAAACATGCTTCCTTGTGGTTTTTCAAATATCTTGGCGGCTGACCGAGCGTATTGCGCAGTGTCTCTCACCCAACACTTAAAAATTCTGTGCTACGCCACCACTCGAGCTACTCGAGTCGAGCTGCCGAGATATTTGTAAACAATACCTGTGTCGCCTAATGCAATACCGATTTAATTTTTAAGATAATAGCCGGTTTACTATCTTGTACTGTTTTACTAATGTTACCCTTCTCCTGAAATGTTAGTACCATAATGTTGTTTGTAATCCGTGGTTGTTTTCTGTTGCATTCGATTAATGATAGCAGCTATCAAGAATTCCAAAATGTACTGTTTATAATGTACTGTAATGTATCACTATCAATAATTTTCGGCATTTTACTGATTTATTGCAATTCATTTTGACATATTGTGACGATTCTAGTTGAGATATCACTTGTCGAATGTGACTGAATATGGAATCTGGCTAGACATGGATTGATCGTTTTGTGATAGCCGGATATTTCATTATGATGTTATCACTAATTTTTGGACATTTCATTAAGTAGTTTTTGTTAAGCTTTTCATATCGTCAGATTAATATTCATTGATATGGCCACTTTCATCATTGTTTTGTACAGACACACTTATATTTTTCACTTTCATTTGTTACATTACATTAAAATCGTTTTGATTTCTTTTATGATACAATACTTTATTAATACATGTGAAAAAAGATATATTGTTTGTAAATTTGTCATGGTTAGACGTGGTGCTCACCATCAGCGTGAAGCTCGCTAATTAATGTCGAAAAAAAAAATATATTTACCCTGATGTTTAAAAAATAAGACCAAATTGCAGTTTTATTTATCAATGTTTAAGTAAATATATGTATACTGTTTAACTCATTAAATAAGAAGTTAAAATAAAAACTTTTGTGTTGTTAAAATGATGCTAATCGTGTTTTACCAGTTTTTCTTTTTCAGTGAAAGCTTTTTTCTACAGGTGCCCTACAGCGACGCTCTGTAACCAATCAGCACATTTACCAAGTGGTAAATTTTACTGTAATGGTATATTTCACCCCAAGTAATTGGAAATGATTGCTAGATATTAGGCTCTTCTAATATATTCTATTCATCTATCCGATTAATATTTCATCATGTTATTTTATCCGTTTTATGGTATTAATGTAGATAAGCAGTAAATTAATACTAGCGTTACAAAAGCTTAGCAAAATTATCACAAAAAGGAAAAAATATAATGTGACCATTTGCCGATATAATTTTGAAATATTAGATTTATGATAATTAGTATATTAAGTGCCATGTACGAAAGAAAAACATTTTTTTTTTTCAAATTTGAGTATTTTTCAAGAAACTTTACATTTTTGCAGGTACTTGGGTTATATAAACATAGGAATAAAACTTTGAGGAACAAGCAAAAACCTTTCAAAATTCGATGTGCATAAATCGGTTCGATTCGCGAGGCAATAAATAGGTTAGTTACGTGTTAGCAGACTAAGTTCAAAGTGTAAGATGAATATGTTTTCATTTACAGATATGGGCCGAGAAATAATGCACCGCCTCCGACTTTCCCCCCATTGGGAGCTAAACCGATACCTCTTATGGGTAGTCTTCCAATGCGAACTGATCCTCAGCCGGGTTATCGAGGACGTTTTGACGGCCCACCTTTTGAAGAAATTCCACCTAGCGTGGAACCCCCTGTGCCAGGATTCGAGCCGTCGCCGTTTGAGAAACCCTCTTTTGGTCCGTCGGGTCCATTAGAACGTGATAGAATATCAGGTTCAGGTTATAGGGATGGTTACAGGCCACCCCAATACGCCGACGGTCCGGCGGGATACCGGGATATACCAATACCTGCTGCCCAGAACGAAATTTCCGTTCATATTCCAAATCAACCCCCACGATACCGTGATAATTATAGACCTGGACATAGCTACCGTGATCAAGGTCCTGCACCATTTAGGGATGGCGCCCAGTCCTACAGGGATTCGGGTCCACCAGGACTGCCATACCGCGAAGGTAACTTTAGAGGAGCCCAGCCTCCGTCATTCCGTGATAATTCGTATCGGAATATGCCCTTCAGAGATGGTAACTACAGAGACCCAGTGCCTCATAATTTCCGCGATCCAAATGTGCCGTACAGACCGCCTAGCGCCGATCCTCGAGAACCCATACCGCCAAATTATCATGATCCTAATTATCGAGAAAGTTTTAGAGATGAAACTAATGCAAATAGGGATGCAATGCGAGCTGGGTATCGTGCTAATGCTCGAAGTAGGGGAGGAAGTAGGCGTAATCCGAATGTTGAACATGAAAAACATAGAGATGCACGTGAGCGCGAAAGGTTGAATGAGAACAGAGAACCACCACCCGAAAAAGGAGAACGATCTCGAGATGCAGATAAACGACAGGCTTATGAAAAAAGAGAAGTACGTGATGAGCGTACACGAGATACAGAAAGAAATCGTGAATATGATAAAGAAAGAGGTCGTGATAAAGCAACGCCAGATAAAAAAGGCCGGTCGTCACCTAAGCGCACACGAGAAAAGAAACGCAGTGAATCTAGAGGACGTTCCAGAGATCGAGACCGCGATCGCGAAAATCGTCGTGAAAAGAAAGATGATCGGTCTCGCGAAAGACCCTCTTCCGAAAGAGGCAGAGATCATAAAGATAAAGAAAAGAAAATCAAGGACAGAAAAAAGAAAAAACGAGAAAAGGAAAAAGATAATAAAAAGAAGCGCGATAAAAAAGAAAAAAAAGAAAAAGAGTCCACAAAGAAAGATGATGACGATAAAGAAAAAACAGAAAATGTTGATAGTCAAACAGAAAATAAAGAGCTCGTTAAGCAGGAACCAAAGGAAGAAGAATCTGTACAAAATAATGTTGTTCAAACTGAACCAGCTGTGGCTAAAGTTATAAAAGCCGATGCGACCGAATCAGTTGTTGAAAAATCAAATGAAGACTTATATGGTGATGAATCTGCAGAAGCTGTTGATAAAGAAATAATACAAAATTACGTGAAAACCGAAAACAAAGAGCAACAACCCATCGAAGTTCAAACAGAAGAGACTTGTAATAAAGATGACCCATTTGACGGAATAGAACTTCAAGCAGTAACTGAAGACTTAGAAGCAGACATTGAAGGTAACACCGGTCAAAGCAAAGAAATGCTGGCACCTTTACCCGAATTATCTAAATGGGAAGTAGATGATGATAATGCTGAAAAAACCAAGGAGCCTGGTGAAATAACTTCACCAGAAGAAGAGGAGGACAGTGGCAAAGTCACATCTGAAGTTATTAAGCGCGCCGAAAACGCCATATTTGCAAAAGCCATTAGTTCATTGCGCCCGATAGAAATTAAAAAAATTAGTAGTGATCGTTTAAAATTATACGGTGATGAAATGGAACAAAAAAATTCTATGAACAATATTCAAATTACTGTTCCCGTAGTAGATTCTAATCAGAGGTCTATTGAATTAAGTGACAGAAACAGATATTCCAAAACACCTCCACCAAGATTGTCCGTTAAAGAAAGATTAGGTGGAAAGGTGGAAGACGTACGCAAAAGTCGAGAAATGCGATTAGTGCAAAGTACCGTAGAAAGAGTGAAGTCTAGGTCAAAAACGCCCAAGAGAGAACAAGCTTATCGCAGAGTGACGGTTGAAAAAGAAAAAGAAAATAAACCTAGATCCCACGGTAGATCGCAGCCGACTAAATCTGACAGACGTGCTGACAAAGAGGATAGCAGAAATTCAGATAGTTATCGCGGCGGCGGTGATTCAAAGAAAAAGGATTTCGATAGAAGTACAAAGCACGACAAAAAATCAAATGTTGACGACAATTTTGGCTCTCGCCATCGTGATCGTGGCAATGACAACTCAAATGATATAAAACGATCGAATGCAGAACGTGAAAGAAAGAAATCTATTTTAGACGAAGCTCATTTTGAACCAGATTATGACGAAACACTTGAATCAGATAACGAAACTAAAGAGGAAAGCAGCAAGAAACGTGGACGTTCAGCTTCACCCAGTGCAGTTGGCGAGGCAAAAAAGGCAAAGCTGGAAGATACCATCAAGCTGGATCTAACTAACGTAAAAAAGAAACCCGAATCTGAAAGTGAGTCTTCTAGTGAATCTGATGGTAGCTCTTCTTCATCTTCTTCGGATGCCCGCAGACGTAAGAAAAAGAAGAAACGTAACAAGAAAAAGAAGAAACGCGCTGCTAGTGATAGCGACAGTGACTCCGACTCAAGTTCCGACGACCATAAGAAGAAGAAAAAGAAGCGTAAGCATAAGAAGAGATCTAATAAAAAGAAGAAGAAGTCTAAGCATAATAAGTAAAGCATAAATTCCTTGGAAGTGAAACACTTTATTTTTAACATTTTATGTATCTGTGTAACTTTTTACCGTTATTAATAACAATTATTATAATTATCGCGCATTGGGCAGTACTTCTTACTGCAGAGTGAATTTTTATGTTTAGAAAATGTATTATCTATACGTCATGTAAGATTATTAAGTAATAAATTGCAATGGAATAAAACGATGTTTTATTTACACAAAACGCCTTATTTGAATCAATCGGACGCAAACACCTTATAACTTTTATAATATCTACTGCGACTTTTTTTATCAATGTTCGTCGTTTGCCAGTAATAAATATTACCCAGTATACTATTAAGATAATACTTGTTATAGTCATCGCTGAGATGCCTTACAAAAAAGTCATTCAGTGCCACTGAATAAGTGGTATTGATTCGTGTAGTGTTTCGAAATAAATAATGTCCCGTTTTTTTTTAGAAAAACCTTTAATAAATTACATAACATAGTACACTTATTTGCTATACTGCACAGTAGTACACTTAACTGCATTGAATTTTTGTGTTCACCGAGAATCGTAATTTTTAATTACGGGCGTGCATTGATACCTTTATATACTTCGTTATACAGATATTTTATATTTTACATGATCGTGGAACAAAACAAAAGTAAACATAATAGTTTTAAAGCAATATCATTAATTATTTTATTAATTACACTTATTCATAAAATAATATTAACATATAATTGATTTAGTGTGGTTTATAACTTTGGCTTTGGCTTTCCTCTCCTGTAGCCGCCGGTTAAAGAGAGCGCTATATGGTGGAACCAATTCTTTCTCATTTGCTTTCTCTCGTTTTTAACTTCACGACGGAATTGTTTCCATTCTTCAAACAACTCGGGTTCCCGGGGACCGTAAGTAGGCTTTTTACCAAAAGCTGTTTTAACAGTCTGTAAAAAAAATTAATATTAATCGTTATGACAAAGAACTTATAAAATTTAATTATTATTTAATAATTTACATTTAGGTTATTCTATTTTTAATGACTACGTACGAAGAGTTGTTAAATAGGTAATAATTTTATATGAGGAATCTATAAAAATATAATTAAATGTGCCAGTTGGTAACATTTGATTAAGATACCCACCTGAATTACATTTTTAGATCTATATTTCCATAAAGCGTGTGCCATGAAGAGAGGAATTAACGCTATTCCTAGGTATTGCATAAGATCTCCAGCAACTGTAAAAAATAAATTGGATTATAATGTGTGAAATCTTCATTCTATATCTAGTTTTTTTTTAATATGATCTTATTGGACAAAAATTTGTTTGATGTCTACAGTGCTAAACGTTTTTTTTATCAGCGAATAAACTTTCCTTACAACCATTCTATCTATTTGTTTATTTAATCTTTACTATTTAAAATATAAGCAACAACCTTCAACTAGTAATTATTCATAATAAACTTAATCTATATTGATAAATTCGACATTTAATCGCCGAGCAATAACCTATTTTGCGTTATCGTTTTTAATGCGCTGCTATATTTTAAGCGAACTTTAAATTAATCGTTTTTTCTCTATTTTGAATGTTTTTTATAATTTGACATGATTATTTTTGTGCTTTTCTGCCTTCATTGTCATAACAAGAACTTGAGTTATTTTTGCATAACTTCCGCTTTGAATATCGTGATTTAAAAAGCTAATAAATTTAGTATATTCATACTTACTGTAAGCTGGTTGGGGATAGTAGTAATCCTCTCCGAACGTTAGAGTGCCTGTAGTGACCAGTGCGTAGAAGAACACGCCTATCATAATACATGGCGTCACTATTGACCAGCAAATACGCCAGTAGAACGATGTTTTCAATCCCAACATAAATTCTATGTCTGTACATAAGTTTTCCAATCCTAAAATAGATTTGTCACAAGTTTAAGTTAAAAGTGTCCGAGTCGGTAAGATTTATTAACTACAGATTTATTATGAAAAAGAGATAAAAGTGATAGTTATAAATCTAAATCTCAATTAAAAAGACAAGGAAATTGTGTTCGACTACAATGAAATAAATCGAAATATATTTACCGTAAATCCAAAATACGCCAATGGTCTCAATGATAGCTGCGAACAGTCTCATGAATGTCCCTCCGTAGTGATCCACCAACTCTAATACATACTGACCACCCTAAAAAATAAAAATAAAACCTTTGTAAAAAATACTGATACAAAATCGATGTTCGGCTACTGGAGTTCAGTTTATAAATAAGCTGTTTTGTCACGTTAGTAGAAACTCGTTAGCTTACCGGTGTGACGTAAACAAGTCCAATGAGGAAACCCACGGTGCAACTCATAGCAGCCATGTATAATGTCGGTATTCGGGGGAAGGCGTCTAATAGCACTGTATTGACAGTGGACAATAGAGCGACGCCGGACCCCACTCCCAATACCGCCATCATGAGAAAGAAAAGAACCGCGAACAGCTACAACAAACATATTAAGGGTCTATGAAAAATGTGACCTTTTAAAACAAACTATTACTACCTATAATCTACGAGTTTCCAGTAAAGCTTAAAAGTGCTACGAAGCTACGCATTGCTACGGATGTACTACGCTGCTTTAAAAGATCTAAACTTTGTTAACTATTTTTTTCATAAGAATTTGAGATAAATTCATTGGAATTGTGTAATATGTACTTAACGTTAGATAAAGTGCTGCAAAGCTATGTTCTGTGCTATTTCAAAAATGCCAAAACTTTATAAACGATTGTTAATATAAATGAAGGCTATGGCATTTACAAAATAATACAAGCTGAGAGACAAAATGTGATTTGTATATGAATGTAATATAAATTTAAAAGTAAAGTGCTCTTAATTGACGTGTTACGCAATGTATATATTTTAAAGCAGGGTGCTAATAATAATTAAGTAATTATATACCTGAGGCACAACTGGAGACTTAGCTATAGCGTCCGGGTAAGATATAAACGCAAGGCTGGTACCTCCTGCACCGATGACCTGGCCTACGTCGTCGTAGTTTAATTCATACGCCAAGTTACCCAGCACTCCAAATATTGTGATACCCGATATGAGACTTGTGAACGTATCTAAAGTGGTCACGATCATGGAATCTCTGTAACAAAGTAAAAGTAGTAATAAATATATTATTGTGTTTATCTGATTATGATGTCATTTACAAGAATAACTTCAATCACAATAATTCACATCGTAATGTAAAAATAATGATCGATCGACAAGATTTACTTTAATAAGCTTTGTCTAATCTAAAAAAAACACTTTGCGTGACAAAGTCTATAAAATACTAGTATTAAAGTGTACATTAAGTAATATTGATGAGTCGTTTAATTTAAAAAGTATGACTGTAATCACATACCTGTAAACATTTTGTCTGAAGCCATTGTAAGACGAAAACATAATCAACGCCCCCGAACACACTGACAATGAGAAGAAAACTTGTGTTACGGCTGCATACCAAACCTACAAATCAAAGTAAAAATCTTTTATAGTTACTATTAATTTTAGTACACTGCTTACCTATAAATAATTATAGAATCTAGAAAAACGGAAGGAAAACTTACCCTGATCTCTAGGATCTTCTTCCAATCCGGTGTCACGAAGAATAGAATTCCATTAGCAGCTCCGGGCAGAGTAACAGAACTGTAGAATAATATTATAGCGAATGAAATCCAAAATATGAAAATTGTAAAAAACGTAATTATTGAAAAAATGCTTACCGGATGAGTAAAATGATCATAACAACGTAAGGAAAGAGAGCGAGGAAGTAAGAAGCTTTGCCTGAACTTTTAACACCTCTCGCGACGATTACGAAGATTATTATCCAAGACGCCAGCAAGCACAAGGTCAAGTCCCATAAGGGAACACCTAAAAAATAAAGAAATACGTTTTGTGTTATGATGTATCGACCTCAAAGAGTAATTATTTTTATCAAGTTTTACGAGTTACAATTCATTAAGTCTAATTAACTTGCGTTTATACTTACCAATACCATCATGGATGCCATTTGACTGACGTAAGACTGTTTGCCTACAAAAAAAAATAAAAGTCTCTAAAGTCCACTTAAACATCTTCGCACGAATAGGCCGACTCGTTTGATGTTATACCACGAACACGCAGAAGACGAGCGTGAAGAGGGAACAATTCCGCGATTCGCCCTAATGAGTGTGCATGCCGGAGGCCTAATTTTAATCCCTTTCCACCCTTTTCGTTTATACGAAAAGGGTGGAAAGGGATTTCTTATGAAAAGGATTGAAAGGGATAGTGGATTTGACGGTGGAGGAGCAGAATAGGGAAATATCATCTTTACATGCGCCTCTTCTTCTGTTGACCAAGGTAGGCAATACATATACAATTGCGAATGTACATAGACATTCGACGACGGCGACGATCGCTTCGCTTTTTCGGTGAATTTAGGTGGCCGCTCGCTCGTTTGTCATCTTATAATAAAAAAAGTGATTTTTGCTGTTTGCCTATTTTACTAAATTTCATTCTGAAAACTTGTTACCAAATGTATTAAAATGTCATAGCCATATAACAAATGGAAGCAATAACTTTGTCGTAATCATTTGTTTAACTATGATCCGACTAATATGAAATATGGGTTAACCTCATTCAATTTTTTTATCTACATTAGGTAGCTAAATTATAAAATCTTGGTAAATTAATGTCAATACGTTCTTTTAATCAAACCACATTTCCCTAATTTGTATAGATAAATGAGGGCTTATCAAAAAGTACGCAACAAGTTACCGTTACAGTCAGTTTTTTTATCAGTTTGATTTGATCATTTAATTGGATTACGGTTTATATCCGTTTTGTTATTTTTAATGCAACAAAACCACTAGTACTTATTACGAAAATTAATAGCATTTACAGTTTTGCGGTGAGTTTCTTTTTCTTAAAAACTAGCAATTTTGTCAATAAAACTTGCTTACAATAGAGTGGAAATATTTCCATCATTAACTTACGTGAAATACAACTCTGCACTGCTAACTGGATTGCCTTGTATAGAACTCATATTGACGGATTCTCCTGAAGGCACACAGTTTAACCACGTGGCATCACACAACGCCCAAGGTAAAGGCGACTGGAAACTCATTGCCAAATAGAAGAAACATAAGGCGATGATTGAAACATAATATGATAGAACATATACAGCACTTAAGGCTTGAACATAGCCAGTACCTGAAAAAAAAATAGTGAGTGGTAAATAATGGTTAGAAGAAGATATAAAAGAGTGTATTAGTGTACATACCCTTCATGGCTGGTGACAGTGCCCATATTTTGACGCAATTACTGCTGCTAAATTGTCCCAGCACTGTTTCCAAGTAATACATAGATTTACCAATAATCAGAAGGATAATTATGTAAGGAATAAGAAATGCTCCGCCACCATTTTGGTAAGCTACGAATGGAAAACGCCACACGTTTCCTAAACCAACTGAAGTGGCGATGCAGGACATAAGAAATTCCAATTGATTATTCCATTGTGGTCGTTCTGGATTAGCGCCTGTTTTACCCTGGAAAATGGATATGTTTTGTAATAAATCAAAGTTTCACATATTTTTAGTTTAAAAAACTTAGAATCGCTTTTATTGAATTATTATAGCGCCTATACATCACGGAAACAGTTATTTTTAACCTTATTTTGCTGTATATAACAAAATTAATCATATACATTTTATAGTGATAAAGAGGGTACTTTTAAATTATAGCAATCTTAACATTATAACACCAAAGAGTTCAATATGGTTTTAAGTAAGGGTTCTTTATATTAAAATAAACGCAACAAGGTCTTTGTGAATTAGATAAATTGTGCATTGTCGTTGTTTATTCATATTTTCAAAACTTTTTTTTATAGTGTAATTGTGAGGAAGTTATTGTGAAAAGGTGCCAAAGTTACTGTTTCTACATAGTTAAAGTTCGATAATAAGGGTAAGAACTCACTTGTGGTTTCTTAGATTCAATATCATTTTTGGACTGATCCCCTATTTCTGGTGCCGCATCGAATCCATTATTCAGTTGACCTCCGCCGTCATTACTATTTTTAGAATCCTGAAAAATGTAGAAAACATTTTTATATTTTAAAAAGTGCTAAAAACTCGTAGGCATTTAAATGATACAATTTTCGATAATCACCATTGATACTGGATAGCGCACCAACGCGCGACAATGCGCAAACGCTACAAGTACTGAAGTAAACTTGGCCAAATGTCTTCACGTATACATTGCAACATCAATAAATCTATCAGATAAAAAGTTTAAGATTGCTAGAAATTTATCACGTTTCAATCTTCACGTGTTTATAAAATAATTTGCCCTGTATTTATTATACTTGATTAAATAGATAAACATATTTATTTAATCTTTTGCTAACCCTTTAAAAACTTTTGCTAACACAAAAACACAATAGTTCGAAAGGGATGCTTATTAAGAATTTTCATAAATACTTAGAAGTAACATTAAAAACAAGTACTTCGATTCATACTTGTACTCGTATTTGATATATTAAAATAGATGAATTTCCTAGACTTAATTTAATTAGACTTTGAAAATTACATTACTAATGTAATTAATACTCAATTATCTTCTTTAAGAGTAAAAGAATTATGATTGTCTTAGGCTTAGGACTTGATCGAACGCTAAACGATAATAATATGCCCTAAGCCCTGGCAGCTACTAATTAATTTCATTGCCTTCAGTTAGATAGTTACTGAAATGGAAGTAATATTCTATCAGTCAATGTATCGATGTAATTAATGTATTCCATAAAATATGTAAAAAGAGTGAATTGCATATTTTTTAATTATTTACTGGTTTTATATCCAGTTCACTGTGTTCATAGCTTTATTAATTTTTAGGTCGTTCGGATCGCAGTGCGACGCTAATACAATTACCTCAGCCCCGTACTTCTCATTAACTCTAAATAACAGGTAATACAACTCTAAATACAACACTATATTAGTATACAACTAACTAGTAACAATTCTGCACAAACGAATTTCTCTTAATTGCCAAGTTTTTTTTTTAATTTTCTAAGCCCACTTAGCTTGAGCTTGAGCGTCGGTGGCTCAGTGATTTGAACACTTGACTTGTAATCTACAGGTCTTGGGTTCGAATCCCGCCATGTACCAATGTGTATCGATCCAAATGTGTACCAATGTAAATCGATTTTAGAATTTTCATATGTACATAATTTACCCGACGTTTTTACGGTGAAGGAAAACATCGTGATGCAACCAGCACATATCGGCGAAGAAATTCAAAGATATGTGTGAAGTCAACCAACCCGCACTTGGCCAGCGTGGTTGACTATGCCTAGTCACCCCTTATTAGGGTAGGCTCCGAGCCCCTCGGTGGGGACGTGTAGTGAGCTGGTGATGATGATGAAGCCCACTTCTTCAACGTGGATCTAATGGTTTGCAATATTTTGTAGAAAATAGATTAATAAAGGTGTACTAAAAATTTTCATAGGTGTAAATAAAAATAAAATATTTTAGTTTAATTTGTAAAACTTTATTATACACTTTATACAATCTTGCTTCATAATTCGTTATTCATAGAAGTGGTATTTAATATTAAAAATGTGATTAAAACTAGTTTTAATCACTTAACTTTCTGGTCATATTAATATAACAAGAAAGAAGTTAAGAAATAAATAAGATAACACGAATGTTAACATGCGGAGATATACTTAACTAATTATTTTATTTTTAATCATTATACTTGTATAACAATTGCACACAGCCATCGCGATAAAAACACTAAAATATAACCAAACAAGAACTACGAAAAATGTTTAACATTTCCTTAAGAAAAGGTTACAAAGGTTAAAAATAAACTTGTCGAATGAGGAGTTTTACAAAAAAATCTACTTGATAAATAAGTTATTTCTGTTTGTTGCGTTTAAAATAAAGGTTTTGTTAAAATGCAACATAAATATACCTTAAGTAATAAATAAAATAAAGCAATAATTTACAATTAATTATTTAAAAATGCTTTTAAATAATGTAAGATACTGTACAATTAGCTTAACTCTTCGATTACGTATAACAGATTCTTTTACATAAAATTATAATACTTAACATTAACAAGGTATGAAAGGGAATTTCCTGTTAAATCAGCTTAACTAGTTAGGTAAATTTAGTTAGGAAACGGAACAAGCTTTAAAATCTGACATGAAAATTTTGATGATATAAAAATATGAATTTTTGTTGGCAACAATTAATCTTAACTAATTTACATTAATCCAATGTTTTTAGTAATTTTTAAAACAGCAGCTACCCCTTCAATACCTATTACCCAACACAAACATTAATAGTCTCTTACTGTTTATTTCTTAAACAAGATGTTCACTAAGGGTATCACTTAGTACTGATAAATATGGGCAAACAGATATCTTCTAAAACGTCCATAAAATGAACTAAAGTCGTCTTTCATATCCTTTGGAGAGACTGAGCCAAATGTGAGTGAACCAGCCGACTTGCAGCTTCTCGCGCTCCGCCATCGCGTCCTTCTTGTACAGAGTCCACTCGTTGCGGGTTATCGTGGACCGCGGACCCCACGTCGACTTGGGACGGAACGATTGTTTCAATGTCTATAAATATAATGTAAGTACGTAAATAAATATAACTGTTGATTCGAATGATACTTTAGATTTATATGTGTATGGAAAATATTAACTTTCTGTCCTACTGGACTCGACAAAAACTAACTTATACAAGTCGTATAACTTACTTCGACGAAGTTACCAGTCCTGTTCTTGAACATCACTGCAACTATACCGATAGGAACCAAAGCCACGCCCACAAACAGCATGAGGTAACCAGCAACTGAAAATATGAAATAACTTATTTAGGACTATTTAATATTAAAAACTAAATTTCATTGAAGTTAAGTAAAAATATTTAAGTTGATATAATGTTAGAAAAAGTTTTTGGAATGAAACATTAGTTGTCTGAAAACTGCGTATGTTGTTATTTCTAAGGTACATACCAGTGCCAGCAACTGGATAGTAGTAATCCACACCAAAGACGAGTTCGGTGCTCGTCGCTAGCGCGTACACAAACACGACTATCATCATAGCGGGGGTGATCAGACCCCAGCAGAATCTCCAGTACACAGATGTCTTGATGCCCAACATGAACTCTATATCGAGACATAAGTTTTCTAGACCTGAAAATACAAAAACATGTGTTACTACCACAAAAAGACATAAATAACAAGCATAAAATAAAATAAGTTAACATTCGTCAGTAACGTAATGTATCGATAATTAATTTAACTTCAAAATTTTTTATTTTTTTAATCTGGTCATTATAAAAAAAACATTGTGATAGGTATAATATAATTACCATAGAGCCAGAACACGCCAATGACTTCAGCAATTGCGCAGAACAATATAAGGAATGTGCCACCGTAATGGTCGACCATTTCCAAGATGTACTGCCCACCCTGTTAAAAAAAAATAGTTTATTTACGACAATTAATTATAGAATGAAAACATCTATAAGTGTCTTTTATTCTTTCATATTTAAAGATATGACAATTATGTGTCGAATGGGTTTATATTTATGAAGTTCAATAGTTGGATTTAAAAGTAGAATTGTTTTAAAAGTCTTGCAAGGTTTAAAAAAAACTACAAACCGGTGTGACATAAACAAGACCGATGAGAAATCCTGCAGAGCAACTGAAGGCCGACATAATGATGGTGGGCACTCGAGGGAACGAGTCGAGCAGCACCGTATTGATGGTGGACAAGAGAGCCACCGCGGAGCCCACACCCAACACAGTCATCATCAGGAAGAACAGCACTGAAAACAACTGCAAACAAGAAAGAATTAAGTTCAAAACTGACAAATTCGATTGCTAATATTTTATAGACGAAATCGCATTGCAGCTCATTGTTCAAAACTTTACGAACCTTTTACGCTACAGACGGGTGTCATGTAACGCTTACTGTCCGATACAGATCATACAAGTTCGTCACAGTCGGTGGTGAATATATAGTTTAAATTTCGCGGCCTTGCTATACAGATTTAATGCAGGTAACCGGTCGCACTTTTTTGTCCGCAAAGGAGGGTACATTTGAATCCCTCTCGGTTTAGTCGGGTGAGGGCTTGCGAGTCAGTCGGTTTGTTTGAATTTCGGTTTCGCGTTTGTAACAATAAAGGTGCATTCACATCTGGCGCCAATAGATTTTGACAAAATTTGTCTTGACTCGATTGACACCGCCAGTGACCAGGCACCTGCAGGTGGTGAAAGGGGCATCGAGCTGGTAAGTTTAACTTTATTCTTCTTACACACTTACAAAACATACACCTTCACTCTCCTGTACCTTTTTGTCTATTGTCGTTAGCGAATTGGAAAAAAAATGATTAGTGTGTTTCTTACCTGTGGCTGGAAAGTTTTAGCAATAGCATCAGGGTACGACACGAACGCCAAGCCCGTGCCAGCCGTGCCGACCACATCTTTGACTTCTTGATTTAATACGTAAGCTAGGTTGCCGAGGATGCCAAAAATTGTAATACCCGAGAGTAGACTAGTGAATGTGTCCAGGGTAGTCACAATCATAGCGTCTCTAAAAAAATAATATGAACGTTAAAACCAAAATGTTGTATTTTGTGAACTTACACTAGTTTGGTAACATACAACTGATTTTAAAATTATTAAATAACTACCACGTTTAATTTTAAATACGGTTCTGACGTTTTGAGTGCTAGTCAAGAATCGAACACAGAGAGAATGTGCTGCCCTTGGAGTAGTTGCTAATAAAGCATCAGAATGTGATGTTTCATAATTTACCTGTATACATTTTGCCTGAAGCCATTGTAAGAGGAGAACATAATAATGGCTCCAGTGCACACGGACAGCGAGAAGAACACTTGAGTAACCGCCGCGTACCACACCTGGGGAGAAAACGTTATCATTTCAATCAGACATTCATTGCCCACGCAGAAAAAGTATGAAAGGAAGTGTTATTTATGGGAGTGTCCGCCTCAATTACAAGCTTTTAAAATGTAGATGTGGCGGTGAAATAATAGCAAAAAAAAATAATTTATGACTTACATCGAGTTCAAGAAGTTTGTCCCATTGGGGTGTTATGAAGAACAATATACCAGTGCCCGCTCCCGGAAGAATTGAAGTACTGAAATATTATAGCAAATATTATTAAAACAAAATGAATGCTAAAATAAGTTTCTCATATTGTCGCTCCAAATAGTTATATGGTTGTTTAAGCAAGCCATTAGTGTTGATTTGTTTTGTAAAAACTCACAATGTGGAAGTTGTTTATGACAAACCTGATGAGAAGAATGATCATGACGACGTAAGGGAAGAGCGCAAGGAAGTAGGCGGCTTTGCCTGAACTCTTCACCCCGCGAGCCACGATCAGGAAAATAATGACCCATGATGCGAGGAGGCAAAGCGTCAAGTACCAAATAGGAGCACCTGCACAATAAATACTTTAATTTTTTATCATGGGTAAGCACTGCCTAATAATATCTGTACAAAATTATCTATCGATACTTTAATTCTTTAGGTAATTGTTACCTATACAAAATACTTAAACAACATTTAAACATTTTTTTAATACAAAAACCAAACAATTTTCAGTTCTATAGTAGCCATACAACAGGAAAGATTATTATGTAAATTTTAAAGATACTAACCGAGTCCACCTTCGATTCCGTCACTTTGCTGAAGTACAGTTTTTCTGAAATAAAAACAATGTTAATTTATCAAACAAACGTTACTTTATTAAAGAAATAGCGATAAAAGTAAATAAAAAGCGTATGTACAGCTACACAAAAGAATTCTTGGTGAAATAAACGAGAATGTTTTGGTTTTAGTTCAACTTCTACTACTGGAATACCTTACAACAACTTTTTGTTATCTGTTTTTTTCGATATTTGGAGCATAATAATATGTCTGTTTTAGCAGTAGAAACTCACGTAATACGAGCATAAGAATTCTTTCGACTCACACAAAATATAATTCGGCGCTGCTCGTCGAATTTTCTGTTAGAACGATATTCTCTGTCAATTCGGATGGCACGCAGTTTAACCATTCCGGGTTACAGATGGCCCAAGGTAGGGTAGATTGGAAACTCATTGATAGATAGTACAAGCACAAAGCTATGATTGACACGTAGTATGACAAAATGTATCCACATCCCAGAGCTTGAGCGTATCCGGTACCTAAAAAAATTATACGAATCTTAATAAACGTGGCACTTCGATTACAAAGTTAGTACGTTATAGTCTTAATTAAAAAATATTAAATTAATCTTTTGGAATAAGGCTAGAATAGACGTAATTAAATAATTAATTAATTTTTAAATTATTATATTAAGCTGATGAGAATTAAATATTATCATCATGTCTTTAGTGTTGTTTCTTTGCGCTATTCAAATTTAATCGATGTTGTAAACAAGCTTTAATCGTATTTAATGATAAAATTCCTTGAAATAATGATCTGGTAATAATATTGGTATATGATAATTGATATAAAGGTTATTATTGTTATCATTTATTCAATTAGTTTGTTTCCTGTTCACATGAACGATCGATTAGATTGTGTAGTTTTTATTTAAGTGGAAATTTACTAATCAAAATATTTGGTAATAAAATAACCTCAAAAAATCCTTGATTGGAAAATGCGTTACACAATTTTTGACAGGCATTAATTCATTGTCTCAGGAATCCTGCATTCCGGTTGTCAATTGTGGCTTTTTTTTTAATTACATAAAAAGACGTACATCTCTAGGACCAAGCTTAGATGAGCGGATTGCGTGAAATGTGCAATGATTAAGAAGAGAGAGATGAGTGAACCCTTTTGGTAATTTAAAAAAATCTGTAGGATGAAATCCTGGGACAAGATCGGGAAGACGATGTTAACTAATTACACAAAACGGTACCTTTCATTGCCGGTGTCATTGACCAAACTTTGATAGAATTTCTCGAGCTGAACTGTCCTAGCACGCCCTCTAGGTAGTACATCGGTTTGCCGATCAGGATGAGCACAATGATGTAGGGAATAAGAAATGCTCCGCCACCGTTCTGGTACGCAACGAAAGGGAACCTCCACACGTTGCCCAGCCCCACTGACGTCGCTATACAAGACATGAGGAACTCTAGCTGGTTACCCCACATTGCTCTTTCCGGTTGGTCATCTTCCAAATCCTAAAAGAAAAAGCTTCATTAAGCGTATAAAAGTATCATATTAGTTTTTGGTAAGAAAATATCACTACGTGTTATTTGAATCATATTATATCCTATAGTTTTTCAATTCTTTTGTTTTAAAAAAAAATCTTGTCTTTGGATTACATTATCGATTGATTATTAGTTTTAACCTGCAGATAAAATAACAAGAGGTAATTTTTTTAAAAGGATTAATGGATCAGTATCATGCAAATAATATTCACAATCTTGACTTTTACTTTATGTCACTGCGTCAATACTTTTATCTGCTTAATATTAAATGTACTTTAAGCATCCGAGTCAATTAAGCCGATAATATATCTTGTTATTCCTCGCAACATAAGTTAAATTAGATATCGCAAAAACAGTAAAAAAAACAAAAACATAAAAAGTAGTCTGCTGTATACAAACAATTATCAATTGACTAATTAATCTTAGTTAATCTTAAAACAAACTGCAGGCTAAAAATCCTAAAAATTACTACTTAGCGTTGTATTGTTTTTAAGAATTCTAGCTTCTAATTTGTTAGCTGATCTTCACTCAAGTAAAACGCGCAGATTAGAAGTAAATGGGGACTTTGCCAAAACAACGTTAACGAAGTGATGATTTGTATATCTGATAATATAAATTCCCTCCAAACCACGTTTTAGTTCTCACCTTTTTCTCTTTTCCCTCGTAATTATGATTATTCATTTTATCAGGCATCTCACTAATATTCTTCTTGTCAAAGCCGTTTGTGATGGGCGGCAGTGTTTCAGGACTGGGATCAAATCCCTTGTTCATTTGATCTTGACTCTGTAGTAATAAATGATTATCAAAAAAAAAATAGTAAAACTACCTTCGTTGAGTCATAAAAAGTTGTTATTGTTGATATTTTACTTCAAAACAATGTTTGTTTGCAATAACACATATTATGTACAATATTCTGTACACATACATACATATGTATATAAAACTCACGCCCGAAACCTAAATGCCTAGATAACCATTTTACTGATTTAGTTTTTTGAATATTAACGCTTGTAATTATCAAACTATATCAATATTCAATGTGAAAACATTTTATTGGAATTTAAATTTCGATATTGGTGAATACGATAAACTCCACTGTATCTAAATACAAAATGATTAAATTATAACGCAAAGGTCATCTTGTCAGATAATCGAGTTAAATGGAAAATGTGAAAAATAATCACATAAAATACCTAAAACAATCCTGCATATTCATCGTTGATATCGTTGAATAGTAATTTAATTCGCCTATTTTAAAATGAAAGAAAATCGAATAGGGCATAGTTATTATTCTATAATATTTTAAGTTTTAACGAATCAGATAACTGTAGAGTTGGTATCTGTTCACTATAGCTTGGCGGGCTTGTTCCGTTTACCCAACTAAATTTACCTAACCAGTTAGGTACTAAGATTTTTTTCCGTTATCGTAACCGGTCAACTTTTTTTGCTAGGGTGGGTACACTTTGCTAGTTTTATGCCCTCAATCACATGTTAAAACGATCAGCTATCGATTTCAAGACCCAATAGATTTCGCAATTTAATTTAGATCTAATTGACATTTAATGTTTTGTCCCGATTATTACCTTTTAAGTCCTGGAATTCATCTTGCCAATGCCTGCCTGCCTTTATTATTTTATTTTTTAAATCATAAGGCGACAAACGACCAAAGTTGGGCCTTCGGCACGCAAAAATGCAAGTATCCGGATATCAAACTGCTGACACTACTTTGTCTGAAACCATACGGCTAATTTCACTCTGGCGCACACTACACAGCCACTATTCGGAATTTGAAGAAAAAGTAATACTTTACTTAATAGTAATAAAAGAAATAGATGGCCCGTAAAATAGAAAAGTATTCGCACCCTATCGGTTACGAAAACGGAAAAAAATCTTGATACCTAACTGGTTAGGTATCTTTAGTTAGGTAAACGGAACAAGTCACTTGGCGTACACTAACTACACCTTTTTGTGGCGCAAAAGTGAGAATAACCTAAAGATTAACAACTATTTTCATTTTTTTGAAAACGTCAAGCGTAACCCTACAACCTTCAGCAGCATAATCCCACTCCAGATTCATGGTTTCATGATACGAACTTTTACTGCTTTATTCTGTTTAATACTGCGTTTATTGTTACCGTGGACAAAGAATGGCGCAAAATTGTATATTATCATAACTCTCGATCTCTGTGAATAAAACAGAGATAACAATATGTATAAGGCAGCTATTTCGGCAGTGGAAGCTTACAGTACCTAATAGGTAGGTAGGTAATAGTAAATACTGGTGATAGGAACTATCAGAATATACCTAACCTAGCAAAGATATGTAATGATCATAAATCACTCAGATTTGCATATCAATTTAATCTGTTTTGAATTCCAAATCACTATCGTAACTGATTAAGGCAAAAAGTTTCAACAACCTTGCAATATTCCATTGTTGATTTGAATTATTCGCCTAAACTTTTACGAGAATTACTCGAGGTCAAAGACCACAGATAACAAATTCATTCTATATTAGATATGACTGATTAGTTATGCTTTATTTTAATTATATTTAAGAACTCATTGTTAGTCAAATCGACAATCTCAATAAATTAAACATATCAAGGGATAAAGGTTTAAAAAAGGTGTATGTTTAACTCGATACTACATTCACAGGTCACTAAAAGAATTTGATGAAACAAACTTTTGAAATAAAGACACTTGAATAAGCGTTCGCTAAAGAACCTTAACCTTGGTTTATAAGACGCACATTTTTAAATAACATTTTGCTCCGTTATATTTCCGATAAGATTTTTATTGAAGGCAGATAGACTAGTCAAGAAGAAGCAACAACAGAACAAGCTGTTTTCTTTATAAACCACCTTTTCTCCGCGATTTCTGATACTCAGTGATGATGAAGCTTTCTAATGGCATCAAAATATATGTAATAATTCCAGTAGTTTTTTATTTATTCGTTACTTATAAAAAATGATGTCATTCCTCTTTATAATATTAGTATATAGTTTAAAAGTAACGTAAATGATTTTTCTTCATACATTTCATATGTAACTTAAAATTATTCAATCTTGCTATTTCAGATTTTATTATAGTTTACTTAAAATTATCGGGAGCGCGGGGGCTCAGGGTTGTAAGCACTTGCCTTGTAATCTAAAAGCCTGAGTTTATATCCCGCCATATATCAATAGGATTTCGAATTTTATATGTACAGTGTGCAAGTATGATTGACTATGACCTAGTCACCTCTAACTAAGTGAAGCTCTGAGCCCCTCAGGGGGGTACGTATATTAATATGTCTTTTAGATTCAATAAAATAAGAATAAATAGAAATAATAGTTGTCAATAGTTTAATTACGATATCGTTGTTATCTATTTAATACAATCTAAATAATACAAAGAGTAATTAATTATTATTAAAGTGTAACTAGACTTTTTACATAAAAAACCTAAGTTGCCAAGAAGTAATCCTTTGCAGTTAAGAATATACTAAAATAGTATAAGTTTTATTGACATTTAAATATTATATTAAGTTACTAATATTATAAATGCGAAAGTTTAGATGGATGGATGGATGTTTGTTAGAAATTATAGCCAAAATGGCTAAACGGATCTCGATGAAATTTGACACAGGCGTAGAGGATAATCTAGAAGAACACATAGGCTACTTACTTTTGATTTATTAACTCCACGCGGGTGGAGCCGCGGGCAAAAGCTAGTCTTTATTTATATTCAGAGGAAAATAATTTTGAAGTACATCGAGTGCCTTTTCTAACTGAATTTTTGAACGATGTATGACGACTGAAACGTAGTAATTACGTACAATTTAAATAAAATAGATCTATGGCATAGATATAAAATCGACCGATAAGCTACTGTTAATAATTAAAATATCTAGAGCAACGATAAATATGACCATGAAATAATCAATACGTCGAATTATCGATTTTTCATCTTTTGACGTATTATCATAAATTTTTTACGATAAAGTAAAATAATACGTAGTTTTTAAATCTATTATGAAATAAAAGTATAACAATAGAGGTACATCAAAAATGTAAATAAACATCCAAATACAATCAGCAAATCTTATTGGCAACTGTATACGACGACGGTAGGAACAAGATCTTAACTTACGGAAGTTTAAACTAACTTTAACTTATTTTGAACTTCAGTATGCAAGCAGTTGACTTACATTCATAAGTAAAGATACAATAAAAATCGTTTTAATGTTAACATCAATCAATAAAATCAAATAAATTTCGTTAAAGGAATGGCGTGAATACACCGTAGGGGTGGGCGAAGAAGAGATGGATAGATTGCATAAATGGTAACATGATCAAGAAAGCAATGTTGACTGAGATGACGGATAATAGATCTAAAGAAAGAAAACCCGGCGCGTAGATGCGTCAATTGGATAAGGACAGGGAGATGGATGGATGGATGACAAAAAGAAATAAAACAGAGAAAATATAGAATAAAACTGATTAATAATAATTAATTAAATTAAAAAGAATTCAATTTTTAATTGTGTACACAATTATTTTTTATTTATTTTGTTATCTTTATTACTTTGTAAACCAACAACTTTTATGTGTGTATAAATATAAATTATAACTTACCATGTTTTTTTAACAATCCTAACAAAACATAAACACACTAACAAAAATATATATATTAATTAATTTAAAAAGGAAATATTATAGATAATAATTTTTAGATGATGTTCTTACTCGCGCCAAAAACGGCAAGCGAGTGGAGCATTTGTTCTTTTCTTGGACGAATTTATACAAAACTTATCGAATGCAAAACGTCTGTGCCTTGCACCTCCATTTGCAATCAACGAATAAATGATAAAATTTGACTAAGCATACCCCTTGTTTATCAAATTATAGGTACGTAGATAGGTTGTGTCGTAGATTAATCTATATAAATATAAATAAACGTGTGTATGTCTCAAACATGTTCCTGTACACTTAACCGTATGATTGAAATGAAACTTTAGTAGGGTATTCACCAGAGAAAGAAAATGTGCCATAAAAACACAAGGTAATAATTTAAAACAATATTTTAAGAAACACTTATTAACACACAGGCAATGTCTAACATTTTTAGATATAACATATTTATAATACGTTCAAGCATTTATGGCTAAACTACCTTAACTGATACATTTTTGATACGTTACGTAATTGGAAGATTGGTATAAATACTTAATTGCTAAAGATATAATTAATGGAAAAATTCATCAACTAATTAATAATAACATTGTATAGAAAAGTACAGTGCGCCTCAAATGAGGGCTCAAATGAATACGTTTGTATCGCACTCAGTGTCGTTTAATCGTTGAGTATAGGTTTCTCATAATAAATGTACACGATGTCTTAACAACTCTGAATATGGTAGTCGTTGCCTAGATCTCGTATGCCTTAGTCGTAAACAATACTTGATTGTTCAATATGCAACCCCTTAACTTATGTTCTCCACTCAATACCCTTATTATTGGGCAAATGCCGCTTCGCATTCGCATGAGTTGTACCAATTCTTCCAGTAATACCTACACCTTCCAAACAGTAAAATGCTTTTTTTCCTTGTTTACTAATTATTTTCAACTGCGCTTTAATTTAATCTATGACTAAAGCTAGATTAGATGATTTTTAATGAATATGCCAGTTATTCATCAGTGAATTTAAGTAAGATTATATTATATATCTACAAAAGTGTATATACTTTCGTTGTCCACAGAAGAAAGAACAAACATTGCGGTAACAAACAATTCATAATACATGTTAGATGGAAAGAGAGAAACATAGTGAAAAAAGGAGTAGGTTTGTCTGGGTTTTACGACTGCGTGGGAAATTAGCAGAAACGGAGTCAATAACTAGAGTAAATTTTTAAAATGTGAAAGAAAAAAAGAAGCAAATTTTGGAATGCGTTTTTATCGCCATTAAGGAAGTTGTTTGAGAGGTCCTTGTTCTTGACCCACTGCACTTGAAACCCTTTTTGTTTTTTGTCAAGTACAACAACATAATTAATGTATTTCCGCAAAGACGCACAGTTTGCCAAATTTAATAATTTATTGTTAAGGGTAAATTTTGTTTGTTTAAATTGAAAACAACTTAAACGAAATCTTGCATATTTTCGACCTTGAGTCAATATATTAATTACGCATCGCAACTGTAACAATGGATTCATCTACCCAGAATACTTATGTAAATGCGAATGAACTCTGTTACGGTCTCAATTCTTTTGGTGTTTTTTTAATCTTTGAAACAGCTTTTGTAGAGGCGTCCTTAATTCGTAGCGGTTGAAAATGTTACAAAATGCTAATAACTATAAACGAATAATCTTTGTTAAAGACTAACAAAAGTGAATATTATAAATTATTAAACAATATTCAAGACTATTTTGTCAAAGTATTTGACAGTGTGGTTTCAAAGTTTTGTACACATTCAAAACATTTGATGAAAATTATGATCAAACGTTCGTCTATTGTCCGTAAGCGCCTGCCACTTTTCGAAGAGCACTGGACAAGTTTCGCATAATCGTCTCGGAACATGAATTTTATTAATCATCATTAAAAAATTGTAACTGGCGGAGTATACTCATCCCTCTTGCCATAAAATCTGTTTTACTAATTTCTTCCAGCTTTATTACCGAAATATTTACACCTACCGTACTATTTAGATGTCGTGACTTATATGTATATCTGAGACGGGCACACGGCCACGTATAATCAATTCGTGAATATTATCAATTATCAACAACCAATAACCCGAATTAAATTATTATTGATGAATATGATAAAGTTTGATAATATATCACGCTTGCCACGTGACAACATACCATTATCTTTGTGGTGGAATTTTAGAAACGGATCTTCTATGGTTTTTAACATAGCCTTCGGAAATACCTTCAAAACTGTAATCAGAATGTTTAAAAGCTATATGCTGAATGCCATCTCTAACAGCCTTACAAATAAACGCGGTGTAAAGTTAAATTTAGGAATAAAATGAGTACAAGCAAAATTTGTACTAATATTTGCCTATACTCAGTTTTCGTTTTATTGTTAGTCATAGCGATAAGGCCCTTAACTTTAGAGAATAACGGGGATAACACTTGTTTACGATTACGTAATCATCAGCTGGCAATTTTCTTTTTATCGATTTGAAAGTCGCTTAATCCATACGACAGGGGCGTTCAAGGCTGATAAAGGAAAAAATTTGTAGTTTATGACAAAGAAAAACTTAATTCCTCTAAAAATGTTTCGTTATCTAACTTGTCGGAAGTAGCTGATCCTAATTCTAAATAAATCGTTTTTTAATGGTGTTTCATTTGTTACAAGTGATAATTTTAATTAAATTCTAGTAATAATAGTAGGTTTAAGTATCAATTATCATGTATTTATCATGCTAAACTCCATATCTTTGATGATGTTATCGGAATGATTAATGACCTTGCGGAATCATCATTGCTATCGCTAACATTGTAATTAAGAAGTGCAAAAAGTTTCGTCAGAAACAATTTAGCGACCACCAGATTAAGAATGTCCACTCTCGTTGCGCACTTGTTTATGGCTGTACAATACTATTTTAACCGACTTCCTAAAAGGTTATTTTATTAAGACAAGCAGATTTTAAATAAAACGTTCTGGAAGAATCTTCAAAATAGGCTCTTTGCAAAAAAAAAAATACTGGACTTATAAAAAGGTTACGGAAATATAATAACGCTTTAACATCTTAGGACGAATGGACCGGCACGCCCGTTGTAATACCACGACCACACAGAAGACAGGCGTGAAATGGAAGCAATTCCGTGTTTCCACGTGAAGGAGATGCATAGGACGGGGAAATGTCCTCTTTATGTGCTTCTCCTCCTCCGTCGTATAAGGGTAGGCAACGCGTCTGCAATTGCGGATGTCTGTGGGCAACGGTCGCTTCGCCATTTTGGCGATTTCAGGTAGCCGCTTGCTCGTTTGCCACCTTATGTTATAAAAAAAAATATTGTTTTCATTACAATTTTTCTCTAAAAAACTGACTGATAGAATGTGTAAAAAACTGACCAACATTTTGACATTTCTAGAGACAAACAAATAGTAACGTAATAATACATTTATTAAAAGTTTTCATACAAAGTTATACCGCTTTCGATATAAAATAAACAAATTAAATGCTGATCGCCAACAATTTATGATATTCCAAAATTTATTTAATACATTATAAGAAAAGTTATAAATAAATGTAAAAACCTACTAACTCGTCGCTGCAATTAAACGTTAATTTGATACGAAGTGAATAATGTTAAATACACTAATTACAAATCTATTACGAGTATTAGTTCAGCTTTTTAACCTCAACACTTATTTATATAAAGCTCAATATCAGGGTCATTGACCCTGATACGTAGTTGGCGATTCCTTCTAGGCATAAAAACTCTTCTCTTTAAATCAAAAACCATTAAACTCTTATTAATATGGTAACACCGGTAAGGACAGTTAATATAGAAGTACAGAGGACGCTGACCATCGGGTATGAAAGCGTGTGGCGAGTGCCTTTATTAGACCTGGACAGAGTAACGACAGGCGTTTTATGCGGCGGTTCCATGCTATGCAGAAGTAAAGTGTCCAATGCAGCGTAAGCTTCGTGTACCACACGCTGAAACAACATTCAAATGCTTATACTAATAACGTGACAATGTAACTGATAGAACAGACGGTACGATCTTGGCACAGCCCTTTTCCTTCTGTATTTAGATTCATGTTTTCCCTATGGATTTTTGTTATCAATAGAAGCGTCAATAGCCCAATGGTTAAGGGTATGGACTAACGATATAGCAGTCGTGGGTTCTATTCCCATCACAATGTCGTACATTATATCATATACGACTAAAAGCTTATAGCTAATTCGCAATGGTTATAAGAAATATGAGTACATTATTAATTTACTAAGTAGTTTATTTTACTTCTTTTTGAAGATGACAATTTCGAAAAAGCAACATTACAATACAAAGTGCGAGCTCACCTCAGTGACGTATTTAGAATTGAACGAATCCGTGGGTCGAAACATCATGACAGTATACGTATTATCTATACCTAGGTGACCATCAACCCAATCCTCTATACCTCCTGCGTACAATGCTGAAATATATTTTTATATTTTTACTTAACATTTTTCCGCATTTTACTTTGTTTCGCAATTCTGTCATCTACTACTAATAAAAAATCTACACAATGTTAATTCTTCTAATTGTTTTATTTTTTATTTATTGCGACAATGTTATAATTTTTAAAATACACACAGCTAGATTGTAGGACTTTTTAGGCTGTAATCGAACAAATTTTATTACTTTAATCAATAAATATTTATCTATATGGCCGTACTTTGATGTACCGTAGTCCTACGGAAAATACTTTATTATCGTCATATGATAATCCTATATACGACCAAGTCTTATATTACTTTATGTTTAAAAAATGTTTTGGTAAAAATAAAATATTTACGTAAAAACTGCGAAGTCTGTCCGGCGACGTACGGTCTGCCACTGATGCCGTACGCGGCGGACGCGGCGCGAGACGCTCGCTGCCTCTACACGTATCATAAAAATAAATAACATAATAAAGTAATATCAAGTTTAGAATTTATAGGTATTAAGTTTCCGGGTACTTTAAACTCCCTCGCACTTGTTCAACAATTATGCTTCATTTCATATACGTTGTTTTTCTTTCTTTTTCATAAATTGCAAGCACGCATTATTGTTAACCGTATTTCAATTGACTACTTACATAAATATGATCAAACGCACGAGATTTCTTCGTATGCGAATAAGGATACATGATACCCTGCAAAACATTTTCGGTTACTGATGTTAACTATCACATAAAAGCGAGATTGGACTCTTAAAAAATGACAACAGAAAATGCAATGATAGAACTGGTAAGAGACTAGTTAATTTTAATTTAGAGCAGTGATTCCCAAAGTCATTCAAGTGAAATTCATAAAACAATTCAGGAAAAAGTATAACAATCTCTAAATTAAGAAAAATATTGTATTTACAAGTACGTCGCCCTCTTTGAAGGCGACAAATGTGTGCAGAGGCACTCGCTGTCCGTGCAGGTAGCGTGTGAGCGCCAGCGTCTCCGCCTCGCTCAGCTGCCGTGCGCCCGCGTACAGCTCGCCGCACGGGTGCTCCGCCCTCAGCTCCTCCGCTGCAAGTCAATAACGTGCGAACACTAGTATTTTTAGATCCTATTCTATAACCAGTTCCATAACTAGTTCGTCTCATTAACACAAACACCATCAGTAATCCCAGTCGAGCTAAACTAACTAGTACGTTTTACCCCTCTTGTGCTCCCAGTCCCAATTCCGTTTCTACTTTTACTATACAATCCTTACGATATATGAAATTGATTGTTATTTTAGATAAGAATACTAACGTGGAATCCATTGATATTCAAAATTTCTATCAAGATTCACTCCGTAGCATGGTTTTATTGAACATCTTAAGCCAAATGAACCGCAGAGACTTTTGGCGGAACTGGTCTCCCAAGTCTGTCGCAAATTCTTCGTCCATTCTCGACGCTGCCAAAAATATTGTGACACAATTTTAAAAGGTCATTATTCCTAGTGTAAAATTAATAATAATTTTTAATTTGTTTAAGATACAGATCGTTATTTTAAGAATTCAAGTTTAATTTTTCATAAATAGGTCATAATAAGTTGAATTTATCGTTTATCGTACTTGTGGAAAGGTAACGGAGTAGTCATATCCATCGGGATTGAAAACAGGAACAATCCAAAAGCGGTATTTTGCCAATAAATCGGCATGCTCCTCGGTTCGTTCTACTAGTTGGTACAGCACGTAGAGAGCGGCTGATACCGCCTGGTGGTCTCGACCCTGAATACCTGGAACAGGTTTTAAAACATCAGCCAAACTCATGAGTTAGAAGTTTTTATGAAAGACGACTAACGAAAACAATGATCACGTAATAAATCCTATAATTCTGTAAACTATAACACAGGCGGTGGTGATGTTAACAACATGGATATTACTGCATGTACTTTAAATACATCCATAGAATCATGATATATGCAATTATTTCTTAAACTTTCAAAAACATACCGGCAATTACCATAACGGTTTGCTTAGCCGAAACAATCTGACCACTGCTTGGATCGTCGATTATCATCATATAAATAGGATTTTCCATTAATGTATAGTTTCCAGTGGTTATATCGGCTATTTTCGCTACGGGACTTGTCTCAGCCCATTTTTTTAACTGCAATATAATCTGAAAACGTACATAGTCAATGAATTTACTAAGAATTAGGGTCTAAAGGGAACATGATCACATATTTTGTACAGGTAGTGTACTTGTATGGTGTCGTTCACTCACCTCTGGCAAAGTCCGTGGCGATTTAAAACTTAAAGGCCGTATTTGTAGTAAACTGCAATTATGTTTTACAGTCGCAGGTGCTTCCAATATCTCGATATCAAACTCTGTATCTGTATGCGTTCTATTAGAAACAAAATTTGTTGTATTTTGGAATTCTACCTCTAATTCACTGCTTATATCCGGTTCCTGGCGTTCTAGGTTTTCTATTGATACATTTCGTATTAATTCTGTTGTAAACATAGTTTCATCGTGTGTTTCATTAGTACGCGGTTCAGGCTCATCTTTATATGCTTTGTGCTCCGATTTAGTGATATCGTTATCCTCTTCACTATAAAACATCATACCATAGGTTGGATCGAAATCCTTGTCTTCTTCTGTCTTCTCAGTCGTTTTTGATACAGCCTCTGTAGTTAATGTAGGGATGTCCACTATGGTGCTCTCATCGGCATTATAAATATTGTATTGTAATGTTGTCCTTTCTGGTACTGTGGAAGGTAGGTATGAGCTGCGACTTACATAAATTGGATTCGATTTCAAATCTTCATCTTCGAATGGGTGAAAATTGACAAATTCATGCTCAAAAGCAGACGTTCGCGAAGGTTCTTCTATTTCTGGAAAAGGTGCTGTTCTTGATGGCTTCATCCACGTTCCGGCTGGAGTCTGTTAATAACACGAATGTGACATTTGTAAAAATCATTATGTGTTAAATTGCTGGTAATTTAGTTTACTGAAATGTTACGTTATCTAGACGTAACATTAGATCATAAAACTGACTATACATCACATTTTTTGTAAAGTAAACATGACGTGAAAGTATGGTAGTATAACTTACACGGCGATCTGCAATCGGTGGAGTAAGGTAAGTGGCTGAAGAACGTTGAGTGAAGACGACAGGAGTGATGGGCGCGTACTGGCGAGACAGCAACGATGGAGGCCGGGCGACGAACTGTGGCCCGGCCGGAGGACTCTCATCCCGTTGTGGTAATACACCGTACTTGTATTGAGGAAACGGAGGATCGTTCCGAACACGAGCTAATTACAAAAAAAAACAGATAAAAGTCTGAGCACAGTCCGACTAACCAACCTGATATCTTCAAGTACCTTTCGGAGAATACGTTGGATTTCTACTGACGCTCACTGCCACGTCCTGTGTAAACAATTTTTATGATGATATGCATTCATCAGGGCGGTAGTTTCACGTTTTGTATATCAATTGAATTATCCTACCGGAAATTGTGGTGTCGGTGAGGGCACCACAGCTCCACCAACAATAATCTTCGCCTCATCTCTTCTTGTGGCTAAAATATTTACTGCGACCACTTCTTTTGCGGTCGTAGTTGGTAAATCATCATCTAGTACTTTTACGATGAATTCCTCAGTGGATAGTTGATTAGGTCGCCATCGCGTGTACTCTGTGTGGGCTCGCTTGTGACGAGATACTGCAATGATCATACAAATAAGTAGACACTCGTTTGACACATTGTTTCAATGCATTCCACCTGCAAGATCCTTACTTGATACGTTATACAAACTGTCGATGACATCGGTGCTGGATTTGGATAAAGATTGTATTGGATTTATAAGACATATTATTAGCAAAATTGTTATAAATGACATATTATTAAGAAAGAACAAAGCTTCATCTTATGTTGATTTGACAAGATGGCCCGACATTTCGTGACAGAAATCAGTCGTGACAAGGTTCATAAATGTAGAAGTTGGTCGCCAGAGTTTTTCTTCTTTACAAATATCATTTTTATTCTTCACTTTTTGTGTGAGGTACGAAACCAAAGTAATATTGATCACAATACAATAAAACTCTTCTTCTTACAAATTTAGAGAATGTTTAAACACTCAGTACCAGTTTTTTAATAATATTTTATTGTAAAATTAATTTCAATGAAAATTCCACGATTTGCAATTGTCAAATGATTTTCACTTCTATTTATCTATATTATTTGAAGTAAGAGGTTAATGTCGTGATATAATTTTAAATTTATAATCAAAATAACAGTTTTGTTGTGATAATGATTTTACAAGTTAAAATATATTTGATTGCAACGTTGTACTTTTTTGGTGCATTGTTCATATTGTTGTTTCCACCAAGAAACTACGTAATGTACGACAAATATGCAATAAATTATACTGTACCTTGATTGTACCTATTGATACTTAGTTAAAGTTTTAACAGGTCGGGAGCGAAAATGCGTAAAGTGAGAAGCACAGGGCAAAAATTAAGGTTTACAAAGTATATGGATTACAATAGTCTCTTGCATGTCGCTGAGAATATGGCTCGAGACGACCCGGAGATCGCCCGCGTTGTCCACTTGACTCCCCGCACCGCTAACAATCAAAGCATCCTCTCCCTTGAGCTGCAAAGCGACAGGCAGAGCACAAAACCAGGAATACTTGTAATTGGAAGTACGTTTCTGTACATTTTGCACCGTTATTCATATTGAATTAGAAATAACAAATGTGACGATAGGAAAGCTAGGAAGCAAAAACTCATTATGCTTTGTATTTTAGCAATCAACGGTATGACATGGGGAACACCGAATGCAGTTATTGAACTGACAGACAAATTGCTTTATGATAGTAATTACCAAACACCTTTTTTCAATGATTATGATTGGTGAGTCGAGTTTATCAACAATTTTATTTTAATTTAATTAATCTAAAAAAAGACATATTGAAATTCGATACTGAAAAACCTAAACGTAACAGAGCCTCTTATTGACGTATCAATAGTTTTGCACCGAGCACTGAGGACACAATAACACTAATCTTTTGACTTTGAATAATTCTGATATAAACTTTTAATCACGCTTTATATACGAGATAAATTTGATTTTAGGTATATGATACCTCTAGTGAATCCTGACGGGTTGAATTTCACACAAAGTCTACGTAACCGCAAATCTTTTAATGTGGAGCAATGGTGCCGTAACACAACGGCAAGTAATACTACTCGGCCCAGCTTCTGGTATAAAAACGTCGAAAAGGAAATGTCTAACGACACTTGTTTTGGTGCGAATATTAATCGCAATTTTGCATACCATTGGCAAGGTACTCTGCGACTTTATTGTTGTTATCAAGTACAAATGGTTTTACGGCCCAACGTATAATTGTTTTATTCAAAAAAATCTTTGCTTAATTTGACTCCGAAGTTTGTAACATCTCAGTTGTCTTTCTGACGTTAACCTACATAGTAAGTTGAAACGTAATATTATAGATGATGTCCATAAGACTCCAGTACGTTGCTCTCAATACTACCCGGGAGATAAACCGTTCTCAACGGCGGAGGCGATAGCGCTACGGACGTACGTTCATCAACTGGGAGACAGGATACACCTGGCTATACATCTACACGCGAGTTTTGAATTTAAAAAGGTAAAACTAATTTTATGCCAAAGTAGTAACGTTGATATTTGTTTGAATTAGATAATAATTATAAGCATAATTTTCAATAAATGTTGTGCAAAGCGTACTCCCTGTGGCTAATGCACGACTTCTACGAGAAAAATGTTTGGTCCTTTTTTTTTATTTAAAACTACGGTACTACCGATGGATACATAAAATTCGTTATATTAGGGTTGGCTCTAATAGAATAGTTAGCAACCAGTATTTATTTTATCGTTATATTTTTGCTTAGGAGTATATTTTATATCCTTGGCGATATTCACTTCGCCAGCACAGCAACTATCATACTTTGCAAGCAATAGGGGAATACGCTGCCAGAAACTCCCGATTGAGCGACGGACGACTTTATGAGGTATGAAATAAGACACATAGTAAAGTCGTAAAAACAAAATGTCAATTGGTACCTCATATTCGCAGGTGCATCAAGGCAGTAGTGACGCTCGTGTTGCGGGCACGCTTAGTGATTACTTAGCGGGAGTGGTCGGCACTGAACTGGTGTACGTCGTCAAGCCCTACCACGAAATGTATCCGAATTATTCTGATAGATCAGCACTTGGTAATTCAGTTTATTTTTAATCAACGTAATAAACAGACACGTATTATGCAGTGGGTAGAATTAAAATTTTGTGAATTAAGATCAAAATGTATTTACATTCTAGGCGTTTTCATAGACTGTGATAGTGCAGCAAAGAAATTATGTTACGTATGTTTTCAGAATTATACGTAAGCAAGTCGATGACAACAATTCTTAGTCTAGTGCGAGGATGGAGAAAGAGCACTAAGCTAAATACGCTCTCCTTCTACGGTCGGGATGTCGAATTTTAGATTTTTTTAACTGTTTAGTTTTTAATGTTCATGTTTGTAAATCTCGCAATATATTTACTTGAAGTTCATCAATTTTGTGATCAAAAATTAAAACCGAAAATATTTAAGTTATTATTATAGCGAAGTGACGTATGTTTTTGACCATTACAAATATAACAGCTCAAATCATTAAGTAGTAGTAAAACGTTGGTCTTAGAAGTAAGTAATAAAACAACTGTACATTTTCTTTATCAACATTACAATAATTCTTTGTATATTATAAATATTAACAACTTATTTCGATTGTTACAAAATGATGAAATGTACACTATTTACAACATCTATCTAATATCATCTTGTAGCGGCGGCGGCATTTCTTCTTAACATCGACATATCGATTTCCCAGACTTTGGACAGCTCTTGAATGGAATTTATAAGTGAAAGCTGTTTAGGATTATCTTCCTTGAGATCAGAAGTATGAAGGAGGCTCATGAGCAGAGACACCTGCTGTAAATGTTGCAGTCTTCTATAAAAGGAATCTTTCAGCTCCCTGACGTCACTTCGACGCCAGTACTTTAAGTTTCTGCCGATCATGGTTGTTATTTCTTCTCTTATATCCTTTAGACATGACTTCTTTTCCAAATTAGTCTGTAAATGAAAAGTGTATGAATTTTCGTTCATACCAAAATGTTAAGTATCATAATTGTATTATAGTGTTTTTTTTATCAGCTTACCCGATCAATCAAAATTATACGAATATCGAAAAGAGATGCAAATATTTAGTAGCAACAATCGAGTTTACTACTAATATGGTATGTTATTTGGCCTAGTCGACCTTAACTTATGGTAATCTCCGAGTCGTTCAGTGGGGACGTATAGTGAGCTGGTGAGAAGATTGTGTAGGAGTGTAGTACATACGCGCTGTGCGCAGAGCGCGAGGCGCGCGGCGAGGTGCGGCGGCGCGGGCAGCGCGCGCAGCGCCAGCGCCGCCAGCCCGCTGGCCGACACGCGAGCGCGCGCCGGGTACCAGCGGCTCTCCGCCTCGCCCTTGCTGCGCCACACACAACGTTCACTACTTAGTCAAATGTTTTTAATTTCTTTTTTAATAAGAAAAGGGGGCAAAGGAGCGGCGGGAACACAGAGTTAGCGAGTTTATTTTTGGTTAAGAATACAGTAATACATTTTACTGGACAGTGTTCTTCACACGTTGTTTGTGGTTTCATCCAAAATTTATTTTAGAGTTTTTTTTTTCTAAAACGATAAATTAAAAAGGTTAAAGTTAGGTAGAAAACAAAATAGTTTTATGAGGTGATACATCATTACACCATGACT